GGTTGAAGTGGGAGTGGATACAATGAGATGGCTTCCCTCTACTTATTTTATACGACTGTAATTTTCAATCAACTCAATAAAATATAAATCATTACATTTATAGTACACAAATAAAAATATTAAACTACAATGTTTTCATTAAAAAAGTAGGTATGAATAATAAACATATTAGAAACTCTAATAATAAGTACCACCTATTATTACAAGTTACAACTAACATTGACTCTGAAAACGTTGGTGATTCAACATGATGGTACAGCCAAACAGGTAGACTTACGTTATTATAACAATATACCTTTATAGTAGGTAAGTATATCTAATATTATTATTGTATATCTTATCTACCTATACAACGTACTTGTGGAAATAAGATAAAAGGTACCATTTTTGATAATCAGGTACTTCACTTTCCTTCAAAAGATACTGTCTATAATAAAATATTTACATTTATTATAAGTAAACGATTTAAAAAACATCATTATACCTTATGGTACCTATAGGAATAAATAACATAAGGTACCTGGGTACAGGAAATATTTTATTCTTAAAATGTGATTTTCGCATTGATGACCACATGGGTAGCTTAACCTAATATAGGTACCTATCTACACCTAATATAATTTACATTATAAGTTACATAGACCTAAAAAGTGGATCGCGGAAAGTCAAAACTCAATGCTGTATACCAATATAAAATATATGTTTTACACGAATCTTAACGGACCAAAATGTTTATAATATTATATATTGGGTAATTTTGATAATTCATATGGGTATCTATTACAATAACAGCATTAGTATAGGTAAACAATGTATACATAATATGGGTGTGTACCATAATGGAGCAGTGTGGTGACCGCTGACGGGTATGCGCGAGGTATATAGATATTGTCGTCGTCGATTATATTAAAAATATTTCATAATAAACCTTACCTACTAGTTTTTTTTCTTATTCATAAATATATCATATATATATGCATTGTCCAGACTTTCCGTTTGGTATCCTCCGTGATTCCCCCAGGGACGCCGCGGAAATGTTTAACGATATTCCTGCCGCGTATTCAGCAAAGCATATAGGTAGGTACCTATAATAAATATGGTCCATAAACCCAGCTGCAATAATAATATTATGTGAAATGTAAGGCATAGCCTTTCGTAGCTCGTATATAAAACACAACAAAATATATTTTCTATGTTTGATTTGGAGTGGAATATTACATCATTATTAGAGCTGTGAATATTTTTATATTAATTTTTGTATTTTTTTTTGTTTAGATTGTTGTAAAGTAATGTATAATATAATATATATAATGTATAGATTTCTTAAGGGGATTCGACACCGTGATTTTCTGTCTTTGTACAACACACTCGACGTACGGTGGCGGAACAAGATGGGAAAGGGCCCAAGGGCAGTAAATATAAATTAGGCCCCTTAATTCTATCTAAAGGAAAAAACACATTATACGTTATATTGTTGTTTAAAATATAAATACCTCTATAAAACCATTAATGAAAATAATAAACGGATAATTAATTAATTTAGTTATTGAATCACATTTAGTTTTAGTTAAAAATATATCCATTTTCGGCAACTTTTGTTTCATTTCTTCTCTTTGTTGTCTCTGTTTTCGCTTAAAGGTACCACTGGTTTTCTTTTTTATTTCCATAATTTTAACTTTATCTTCAATACATTAGGTACTGTATGACAACGTTAAAAGCTATAAAATTGATAAAATTGTAGCGTACGCACTGCGCTACGAAAGTACGAACACGATAACGTTACGCTGATGAGTGATGACTGAATACTGAATAGTGAATATTATGCTACGTGAACATAATTATACGATAATAATATGTTCAATAATATTAAGGTAATTATTAGGTGAGGGAAGGTGCAATAACATTGACAACAGGCTATTTTAGGATTGTAATTTAGCAATTCCTATGTACTTCCCAATCCCAATCGTAATATTTACAAACCTAGGTGGCCGTTGTGCGATAAAATAACGATTACTCCGTAGTTGAACACCCATCATTACATATTGTGTGTATTTATAGGTATACAATAATATTCAATTATCATGTTAAAAATATCCAACCTTTTTTTCAATTTTATTTCAAATATTTTACGGATGTATTTTTAAAATTTACCAGGAGCTCTGAGGGCCTCATGCCCTGCTTTGCCCGATGATAGCTACGCCATGCCACTGTCTACATAGGATTTTAGATATTGTGTTCTTTGCCAAACGTACCGATTGATTTAGTGAAAGGATTAGAATTCTGAAAACCGACTTGAATATTTGTCGTCGAGTCTACTGGAGATCGAATTTCCCAAATTTTTGATTTTAACTTCTCCGATGGTTGAATTAACGACAATTTTTTATTTATTATTTTGTAATACAAAGCTATAGGGATCTTGAGGGATAATATCAAAAATGTGGGAAAATCAATATCAAGTAGCCTTTTGAATCTGCTTTTAGAATTCTTATCGCTTCATTAGATCAATCAGTAAGGTACCGACGTTTGGGAAAAAACACGTCTAAAATCCTATGTCACGAGCATAGGCGCAAATAGGGTGGGGCTTGTGGGGGGGCTAAGCACCCCCTGATTCCATCTAAGCCCCCCCCCCCCAATATTTACTCTTATATTAAAATTTAATGCACTTATTAATAATCAAATGTTGTTTTCGACTGCTCCCTTTGACTGTAAAAGTGTACATATAGTCAATATAAATTTTTTTTTACATTTTAATTATAGTCGGTAAAAATGTCGCGCGTTATAATAACGCCCATGTGTTCCTAGCCTAAGAGTCTAAGACTTAAAAATAAACAAGTTATAGTCAAATGGTAGGATATTATGATATTATATAATGTGTTATATTGTGTACGAGTATATACAGGTAAACTGGTCAACAGCTAGCGCGTTTCCCAGCAATCATCAAGCATATTGCCGATATAACGTCATAGCATCATAGCTTATTTTATTATTAATAGTCAGTGTCAGGGACCAGTGTTAATGTTAATAATTAAAAACAAATCTTTCCAAATTATTATAAACTATTTAATGTAGCAATGACTTTGCCAATCAATTCCGCTTCTTGCGAAAGGTCATTTTCCGCCATGAGGAGATTGAAAAACATGGATGAGATCAACAATGCTCCAAGAAAGATTCAGTAGTTTAGGGTTAATAAATATTGAAAAGGATATTAATGTTGATGACACGGTATCAGTATTAAATGACTTTGCCAAATCCAACAGGAGAATAAATTTAATAATGTAGTTACCTATTATCTATACCTAGTTAATAATAAATATAAGTGCATTAAGCAATAGTTTTATACTAGAAGCTAATAAAAAAAAGTAATATTTTTATTTGATGTGGGGAATTTTTGTTGAATATATTAAAGCAGGGCTTGAGCCCCCGCCAATGTAACTCCCTATTTGCGCCTATGGTCACAAGCGTGTGTTGGACAAAGACGAATCCTCTTTACACGAACTACCTATTTCAACTATGATGCTGTCGCATTTTACCTTGTTGTCATTTACCTATTCTATTTTTTTATTGAATTACGGCATTTAACATTTTCCGTCAATATTATAATGTTTTTATATTTTACAAAGGCTACTTTATATTTTCGACATTTTTGTAAGAAATTTATCATAAAACCAACGACCTAGTAATAAATCAAAATGTAATGTGTAGATTACTCTGTTAGATTGAGTTTATTTTGGCGGAGGTTTATTGTGTTATGAGACAAGATAAATATACCACCCAAATAGCTAAATCGTGTCGAACAAAAATATTTTTAAAAAACACACACACACATCTTTGTAAAAATTGTATTTACATGCATATTGCAGCTCCTCCCAATAATATATAACTACTATTAAATCCTCTTGGCCGTTTTGTTTTCAATTAAAATATTTAATAATCTTTAATTGAACTATTTATAGGAAACAAAATAAAAATTTTTCCGACAACAAACTATATAAAAGAAAATTTGGTATATCATATAGGAATGTAGGGCGATTTGCCCAAGCCTATTTTTAGTGTAAGACTTTTACCCTGTTTATATATTATTGTGTGCGGATATTCCCCCCCCCCATATTTAAAAAAAATGTATTTGAACATTAAATTGGGGGGAATTGTACATTTACCGAGTACAATATAGGGCCTCAAGATTTTCTAGTATTTTTTCCATGCACAAAATACCAGTAGGCATTAATTTAAATTTAATATCAATTAATTCTGAATGATAAGTCATAAGTTTCATGAATAATAACCTGAGTTGGTTTCAAAACAATTTTGTGCACTCAATAATTGTACTTGGTTATACATTTTAAAATATAATAATTGATACTTGAATGGCTAAATTAACAAAGACATATAATACAAAATAAAGATAATGCAATTATTAAAACAATACAAATGTTCATATCTATTAATTTATTAAATTATGTTAACAATGCATTTATAGTTTTTTTTTATACACAAAAAAAATGTAAAAAAATATTAATTTGATTTAGTTTATGAGAAAACTAAAATATTCTCTCTATTATTATAAAGTTCTAATAAAATGTATAAAAATAAGGAGAGATTCATAAAACAAATTTACAGTTTGCATGTATCATTTAGTCTAATATAATTAATGCTCCTACCAGTTAATTAAGTATATTATTATACTGCAAAAAATAATTTGGCTTACATTCAAATGAAACTAAAATTTAAAAAAATATAAACTATTGGTGACTGATAAAATATCACTATAAAATTTGGTAAAAAATATAAACTAGATGATATGTGCAATAAAAATAAATATATAAAAATAAAGAAACTTTTGTTCTTAAAAAGTTATTAATACCATGGGTTAAGCATACTGTAGGTGTAGAGTATAGATACTTATAGAAAATACTATTCAATTTGATTATTTTATCTGGATGGCATAGAAGCTTTGCCACTAATAAATTCAAATGTTAGTCATTCAATCTATAGTACAAACTTTGTCAATTTATATGTTATGCCAGGTCCACTTAGGCAACTAAGATAAAAGTAAAAACAAAATAGTGATTGTGTTTCAGTGGCATATAAACAAAAAAAATTTCTTAGAAAGGGTTATAAGGGATAATTTTATAAGGCCCTATACAATACTAAAAATCAATTTTGATACGAAATATTCTAAAAAAAAATGTTTTTAACATTACAGTGTTCATGTTTTGTTTAGGAAAATATGTAAGCAATATAAATTATCTGATGGGTTGGGAGCATTGGAATCCCACAGTCCCTACATAAATGGCAATGAATGTTTTCATTAACAATTTTAATTTTCTTATTTGTAGTGGGAAAGTGAGTTTTTGTTTTGTTTTGTTTACTATTACTAAGTGGAAGCTCTGCAATAGATTAGTCAATGTAGGTGCAATATACTTAACCCACGTTAAAAATAATGATATAAAATGTATTCAAGTATAAAAATAAAATACAATACTTATGATTAAAAAAAATACTGATTAATTGTCAACATATAACATTTGAACACAAAATGGACGGATAAGATTACATTGTGTCAAGCGCATTGTCATAAATCTAAATAATAATACCAATAATACAGTAAGTAGAGTCTTGCTAATCCAGACCTTGCTAGTCCGGATACCCGGATCTATATCAAGTCTAGATTAATGACTATACTATAGTTTAAAAATAAAATAGTAAATACTACATTTCCCAGGTCGATTTGTCAATAAAATATTATCATGTTATACTGGAACAGTGGAGACTGTACTATGAGGAGTAGTGGGACGAGATCCAGCTAAAGAATGTGTTGTAGATGCATTCAGCGAGGCCATAGTTCCAATCTAAAACAAAATAGTTCATTTGTAAATTTACACATAAGAAAAAATGATCAACTACATACTCTTAAATGTGCTAAATCTTCAAGTTTAGTCAAATCAAACAGTTCCAAGTACAAAGAGTATACAAGTATCCAACCGTATACATTGATGACACTGAACAATGCTCCCAACAAAATCATGGTGAAATTATATCCAAATATGGGATCGTTGGCTATTGAAGAAAACAACCAAGCAATAAATCGAAATACTGTAAATGCAGCAAACGAAAATAACCAAGGCACAATCCGTTTCTCGTGCTCCTGAAAGTTGTAAAAATTATTATTAATATGATTATTATTACATTAGTTATGAAAATAACTATTATTTTACTTTGCGTAACGCAGATATTAAAATCAAACTTGTCACAAAAATAACAGCTGCCACAACAAACGAAAACAACGAGAATAAGACCAACAAATTTCTGACTGAAATATAAAAAAGATTCGTGAAATAATAAAGAAATTTAACAAATTGTTGAACACAAAACATTATTATTTATATTTACCCCAAGAGCTTCCAACATACACAAACTGATAGCTCATGACATAGTAACCATAATGTGTAGATCCAGGAGCAGCCATGGCCAAACAATAAGTATCAAAAGCGGATGTCACCAATGTAAAAATGCTTAGAAACTAATGGACATTAAAACCATATCATAAATAAATTTAATTATAAAATTTAAATTTAAAAAAAAAACCAGTGCACAAATTAATTTGTCCAAATGAATGACTACTTACCAGAGAATAGAAGGCAATGACAAGTGCACCTCTCTGTGTATCAAGGAAGTAAGCGTCTTTCAGTATAGGACGTTGGTACCATGGTATACGCAAAGATTTCATGGAACGCGTCGACCGCAGGTTAGAAGATCGGATAGTCAGATGACTGGCGTGTATCGAGTAGACGGACGGCGTTCCCATGCTGGGAGTTTTACTTCTGGCGTACATGTCGAAAGAAACGGTGAAATCAAAAAAATGTACGTATAATTATTGAACAATAAAAACTGAACTGTCAACCGAGAAAATCTACATGAAATACAAAATTTTAGGAGTCGTGGTTTTTTTTTTTAACGTTAGATGGTCACATTGAATTGTCACGGTTCATGAAATGAATATTGAAATTTGAAAAAGTTTAATGAAAGGTGTGAGACAAAATATACATCCACCCGAACCTGGAATGCAAACTCAATAATTGTTAATTATTTACTGCTCAAAATAATATAGTAATGTTTAGTAAACACAACTCACAAGTCGATTAACACGCCCAGGTTGATAGAGAGCTACAAGTGATAAGCGTTAACCATCCACGGTTTAAATTTTTAAACCATGTAACCACAGAATATGTGAAATATATAATTTAAAAAAATTTATATATAAATAAATTTATTAAATATATTTATATTCTATTTATATTCATATTTATATTTATTCATACTACTTATTAAATATGTTTCATTTAGTCTGTGGTGTACTGGTGTAACCATCCGATCTGCATCTTTGATAATATGGATTTATAGCACACAAAGATCATAGCTAAATATACAAGCATTGGCAAAGACTATATATATTAAGATTTTTCAGAGAAGAGATCTAATTCTAAATTCTAATGCATCAGCCATCAAGGTGGAATACTGAAGTATTAGATCTATAAATAAAGGTAAAATATAATGAATTTCTTTATTGGTCCATGCTATTGCTATACACAAATTAACATTATTAAAGAAGCATCGACTTTTTTTGTGTATATAACTTTAATATCAATGTTTGAAATAAGAAAACAAACTCGGGCCACGGAATAGATTTAATCTATTCTATGCTTGGGCAGCCGCCGCAGCATTGCTCGTAGATTACAAGCCAAGAAAAAGTGGCAAGTACGCAATCAAAATATGATCTCAAGCAACAGGTTGCGGTACTGCGGTAGCATAAATTTTAGAATAATTTCAATCTATATTTTCAGTATTATTTTAATTATATACAAAAACTGTTTATAATTTATATCAATGTTTTTATTCATACAATTGGTATTTTTTAAATAATAATCAATATTAGGTAATAGGTAGCTGAAAGATTTTAATGACATTATCATAACTATTCTAACAATTAAATTACTTTTATTATTACTTGTAGACACAATATATATATTAAATATACATTGTAATGCATTTGTAGGTACCTACTTAATTATAATGCAAGATTTAACTACAATTTTATTTACATCGTGGTACAATGTATGAGTGCTTAATTTTAAAAGCCAAATATCTATTGACTATTCTTATAACAGGTATGTAAGATCGAATTTTAAAATTTGGAAAAAACCAATAGAACATTGCAAAACTTCAATATTTACTGCAGTACTACATCTGAGGCCACAGAACAATAGCGCGGCCCGTGGCCGTTTCACTGTGCTATTTTTTTGGTATGTATTTCTTATCCGGCGTTTGGTATCCTTATCATTTTTGTATTCAATATTCATTAATTTCGGTAGATAATAGTATAATTTACTTATATTTACTCTAAATTGTAATCTATTCTGTTCTTAAATCCGATTTCTGTATTACTGTCGTTCAATCGTGGTAGTTAGTCCGTCCTCAAAATAATTCAACGTCTAATTTATAAATTTATAATTTTTTTTTGTGAATATATTCATATAATCACATCAATTATCACCCAATATTCAAAGCATAATGGTTGTAAGTTTTATTCTTTTAACTACATCATTTATTTTTAAATTTAAAATTTGTGTATTTGATTTTAAAATAATGTTTATAAACAAATTTGATACGAGTATATATATTAATATGTTATGTATAATTAACAAACAAATTACATGTAGAAGAGGAGTGACAACACGATATTTGTTAACAGCAGCTCAACTTTATTTTTAAAGTTTTGAAAATTACAAATCTTATATATATCTACTAATTTCGGTTATTTGGTTATTTAATTTATAGAAGATCGCATTACAGATTAAAGCAAATTTAGAAAATGTGACCGACTTAACACCTGACGGAGAAGACTTTCGATGGTATTTAAAAGTATGATAAAACATTTTTCCATTGAAATTCAATTTGTTTTATGTTAATGCCTTTAACTTCAATCATCGTTCAAAAATCATTACTCTTTTTACAAAAATGTTACAGTTTCGGTGTACAAATTGTGGTGAAGAATCTGACAAATGGATATACTTATCTCAAGATGTTAGTATTTCTAGTTATAATTAATTTAGCTGATTATTTAATTGAAAAAAGTTTTAGATAACAGTCCCAATGAAAGGAAGTAGAGGACATGCACATTTAGTTACTAAATGTAAAATGTGTTCAAGGGATAGTTCATTAGGTAAGTTTTTTAGGTACATAGTATAGAAATATTTGTTGAACCCCCTATAATAATTTTATTTTCAGATATTTTATCAGATACTATTTCAAAGTATACAATAGAAGATTCAAATAAATTTAAAAGTATTGTCACATTTGATTGTCGTGGTATATCAATCATTGACTTTTCACCTAGAAACGGGTTTAAGTGTTGTGGAATTGAAACAAACACTAAATTTGAAGATATCAATTTGGAAGAAAAAGAATGGGTAGATTATGATGAAAGACAGAACCAGCCTGTTGGAATTTATGATGTCCAATATCAGTTTGTAACCACCAAATAAATTTTTTGTTGTCTTATAAACCATAATTAAGATGTAAATTTAATATTAATGAAATCATGTTAAAAAAAAACTAAGTTTGATCCATTTATTTAATGTCTAATAAATTCAGGAACATAAAAAATAATATTAAAAAAATGACTAATTAAAAAACTTTACGATTAATCAATCTTCATCTTCCTCATCACTTGTATCGCTTACCTACAAAATATAAACTCAAATTACAAAATCTGTTAATTGTATTGTATAATTAATATAACTCACACTTATGAGACCAATTTTAAATGAATATACAACCATTGTAATGACTGTGACTATTCCAATTAAAACATTTTTTGTCTCGTCTTTCTTATACCAAGGTATGACATTCATTTGCTGCTTAGTCTCTTCAAGTTTCTTCTTTTCGTTGCATTTGTGCGCTTGCCAGTCTATTTTAAAGTATTCTCTCGTTATCCTGTCTATCCAAATGCACAAGTTTTTACATGTCTTCAAATGTGATTGCAATTTGTTTTCAGATAGAGGTGCTTTTAATAGTGGCCCTAGATAGCTGTAAGCAACGGCATCTAATAATGTAGGATGTGACCCAAAGAAATAGAAATTGTTGCCCAAACGACTTTCCAAACCATTCATACACTTAATGGCCTCAGCGTAAATCTGAATGCAAAACATAATTTACTTACAATAAATCATTATGAAACTGAATTTAAAATAATTTACCTCTGTCATTATGTCATTGTCAGAATCTAGGTGATTGTACAATGTATAGATTTTGTGCTTGGCTTCCCTCTCATATGCATTTGGATAGTACCAATTAAATGGAAATTTTAAAGCATTCCTATACCATGGCTTAGTAAAATTAAGGCAATTACTTTCATCCATCCACCTGTACAATAATAATATATAATCAAATAAATGAACATTATATGACAGAAACACGATTTTTTTTAAATTTGATTACCAAGCGAACAATAATGCTGGTTCAAGTTGAGCATCAATCATACTAATAGCTGCATGTTCCTCAGCCAATTGAAGACTACTTAAGCCAAAATCTGGGGTGAGATTCTAGAAAACATGAACACAAAACGATATAAGAAGAGTACATATTAATATGTAATGAACTAATTTACCTGCTTTTCAAGACAATCGATTAGACTATCACGATCCATTAATAACCGCTTATTATAACTTACAACAGGCAAGTGTCCAGTAACGGACTTGTATGGATTGTTCGAATGGTAAATATTAATTGGCGCATTTGTAAACCTTGCAAAAGCCTAAAACAAATTGTATCCCATTGCTTCAATTGTAGTGTTCTTTTATAAACTATTTTAAATCGATATTACTGGAAAAATATTATCAATGTACCAAAACTTCGAGGCATTTATAATCAATTGACGGCAAACCCCAATCGCCTTTCCAACTTTCTACTTCCAACAGGTGAGGTTTAAACATGATTGGTTTTGAATGTCAGCTTCAGGAAATGAGTTATAACTCCGTCGAAATTTATTCCACGGTAACGCAACTACTAAACTACTGCTACGGAACAATCAATAATTTCACAAATTCGTTAGTACTTAATAAGTTATCGTTTAAAAAATATTTTTACTATTCTAGTACGATTAATCAATATCCACTATCCAGTATTCAGCAAGTTCATTAGTTTATATTTTTATAATTCATAGTTCATACATCACGATTCACGATTATTAATAATTATAGATATACAGGATATAATGATATCGCTGATTGTGATTCATATATTTAATCAATCAACAAATTTAGTGATAAGAAGATACAGTAAAAATGTTAGTTCCAAAGACGTGTTATTACTCAACTCACTCACGCGCTTGGTGCCGTTGGCGACACTGTAAAGTCGTCTCATAAATTTGTTATACATTACCATTTACCACATTTTTACATGATATACCTTTTCATCATTTCTACGATTTCAGCTTTGTTCGGAAAAAAGACACGTTTTCCAGAAATTCGTTTTTCGACTACCTCAGACGAATATCCACATCAAAATGGCTGAAAACACCACCGTAAGTTTGTTTTATTACGATTTCAACCCGATGGCGATTCAAAATGAACGTCCAACGATCTAGAAAGTTCCGGCATACATTTAACCATTTTAACCTACAATTTAGAACCATTGAAGTACTAAATTTGCTTTCGGCCGTCTCTAGGGGTCTAATAAATTAACTTTTGATTTAATTTATCACCTCAAACGGCTCAAACGACATCCAGACTCGTGCTAGACTCGGTATCAGTCGTTATTATGAGTTGTAGTGTTGTAGCTTTTTCGGGCAATTTCTGATCATCGAAAACGTGTCCCACATCGTTTCTTCGGTTAGGTTACAAAGTTATGTAAAGTCCTGGCGGTTTTGAGAGGGAGCTTTCGCTTTTCCTGGTTTGGTACATCGTTAATTATTTTTAATATGTGAATATTGAACCAAAAAACAAATTAAACATAGTGCAAGGACAGTTTTTGGCAAGAGAATGTAGATAATTTTGTGAATGCTAAATCTGCCTTCTCCCTTGAAGTCTCGTTGAAGCCTGAGTCTTACATTGTATTTGATTTAACAAATACATTATCTATGTTCGCTTGCCACACCATATGTGTTTGTTTGTTTTAATTGCAGTTTAAATGGTTTTGTTTCAGGCAGAGGTTGAACACAAGGCTAAAAGGCCTTTCCGTAAATTCACATACCGTGGTGTTGACTTGGACCAGCTTTTGGACATCCAAGGGTAAATTATTACATTTATTATTATTATCATCTATTACTATTATTAAATTAATATTGACATTCATAACTCATATTGACTAAACAATTATGTTCTTTAGAGAGCAGTTGATCGAGCTGTTGCACTCACGTGCTCGCAGGCGTTTCTCACGTGGTGGACTTAAGCGTAAGGAGTCAGCTTTGGTGAAGAAATTGCGCCGTGCAAAGAAAGATGCTCCACCAATGGAAAAACCAGAAGCCGTGAAAACTCATCTCCGCAACATGATCATTGTTCCTGAAATGGTTGGCAGTATCATTGGTGTCTACAATGGAAAAGTTTTCAATCAAATTGAAATCAAGGTTAGTAAAATACTATAATATTACTTTTTTCATTATACTCAATTTGTATCTTAAAAATAATTTATTCATATTTGTGTTTAATTTCTCATCAATAGTATTTAATCATATTTACCTTATTTTTCAGCCTGAAATGATTGGTCATTATTTGGGTGAATTCAGTGTGACATACAAACCAGTTAAGCACGGAAGGCCTGGTATTGGTGCCACTCACAGCTCTAGGTTTATTCCATTGAAATAAATTTTATTTTTTTTTTCACAATAAAATAACATTTGGTTCTAATGTTGGATTTGTTTTCTCAATTATTCTCCTTTTCCTACTTTTTTTTGTACTTAAAATTAATTTTAATTGATACATTTTTTACACTTGATATCAAAAAATAAAATAAAATATGCTATTCGTTTAGTATTTTTACTTTATAGTCTGTACATTTTTAAATTGAGTTGTTTGATAATTATATTAATGCAAATTATGTCAAAATCAATCAAATTAAAAATCACTAAAACAAATATATGTTAAGCAATACACTTTTTGTTCATCACTTCAAATTTAAAAAAAAATGTAACTTGCTGAAAATAGTAAAGGTAATTATCACGACGCAACAGGGACATTTGTTGTCTCCCTTAGTTACGAAAAGGCTCGTAAGTTCATGCATTTACATATAAATCTTGCTAAGTTGTATTTAATGCAATATGACCTATAAAACCATTTCAAGATACCACAGTTAAATATGTGAAGTCTTATTTTGCTTGTTTGGTATATTTATTTGCCAATTTTGAGTGCATAAATGCATGCTTGTTTAGGCGCTTTTTAGGACATGAACTTATGAGCCATGGTTATAAGTATTTTAAAATTAAAATATGATAAAAAGCCCATTAATTTTTGTAAGAGGATTTTTATCGATTTGCTCTGGTTTTTAAACTAACGGAACTGAACGTGATATGCTGAGAACAATTTGGTATGTTACCCACTAGTAAAACAAAGAGGATATATGCCTGTTTAATGTCCTCTCAATATTAAGTAACAATGATCCAAAATGAAAAATAAAATTTTATTTTTCAAAATAGAAACAATACTGAAATACCTTTTTCTAAGTACCTTATGATAAATAGTACTAAAAAATGGTAATCAATTTATCACAAATATTTTTAATGCAATATAGTTAGGAAGAGCATTTATGTTTTTTGTTAACGCATTTTATCAACCGCATACCCTGCGAAAAAGGTAAAAAGAAAGATAGTACTGTTAATTATTATTTTTTATTTATATATTGTACCGGTATAGTTTAAAAATTACACATTGCCTACAAATTTAAAACAATTCAAAAACTACATATTACAAACTGAATAACACTCAATTCTCTAGTAACGATTTACATGTTACATTAAATTAAAATTTTAAAAAAATACTCACGTGTACACCTATTAAAATCTACTTACAAAGTAATATGATATTAAGTATAAGAAAAAAATATTGAATATAAAAGCAAAAATAATAACATAAAGTATAAATAATATCTCGGTCTATCGACTATCATTATACCTAATATATAACTGTTAACGATGCCCAAGAATCTGAAAACTAATTTAGTAATTTCAATTTTACACATTAATGTTAAATAACATAATTATTTTCGTGATTCCAATGATTCCATCATCACTATATTCCCCCCTCCCGAGCAGAGTAGTAAATTTCCCCTTGGTTGGGAACCGCTGTATTAGATAAAGTAAAAATATTATTTATAAAGGTAATGTTAATTTCGTAAATTACTTGTGTAATATCAATCACTAGATCCCACAAGGTATTGAAACTTACCCATTACATATAGATATATTATTTTATACTCATACTCTTATGAATTAAGAGACTATAAAAGTATATTTTTGCTGATGGGAATTTTTAACATAATATCATTGTGAATTTATTTTTTGTATAAAATTAGTTTCTTAAAGTAGAAACTATTGGGCCTTAATGAGAACAACTTGTGAAAGTAATTAACTACTAATTACTCAAAGAATAAGTTACAATAAAAAATAGTAATTAACAATTAATGTACAACTATGTTTTTTTTAATATGATTAACGGGTACTTTTTTCCCGGTATTCCGACAAAAGTTTGAGCATGCCTATGTGAATGACACGGTAAGTGCCCGAATTTAGTAAATATTTGAAAAATTAAATAAAAACTGCGTCAACTGCACAAAAGGAATAAAAAAAAAAGAATTAATTTTGATTTAAATGTATGTGGTCATGTGCTTTATTGAGTTTGATAAATTAATTGATTTTTGAGATTTTTTGAAATGTTGAAAAATTCAAGAAAATGATTAGGAATTATTAGTTAGGCCCACGATCCTAATTCCAAGATGACCAAGATCAGAGCACTCATGTAGTCACTTTAGACCACTGGAATTATAGATAGCGTTGGTGAAACAAATCTAGAGGCTAAAATTGACCCACCACCCACCTACTTCTTACCAAACATTTATAACAAACACAAGAACTATTAGCATTATTATTACTATTTGACTAATATAATTATTATTTAGCAATTGTTTTTCGCTTTCATATTGAGCATTTGATCACCCGTCAATCCACCACTAAATATTTAAAAAAAAAAATCGAGAAGCAACTGCTTCTTGAAGACTATGATAGTTTTGCCACTGAATATACTGATCGAGTGATAGATAGTCATGATCCGTCATAATGTCTAATAATGCGCAGAACATCCGTACAACTAAAATTGATGAAGCACACAGTGCTTGAAATTTGAATTGAAGGAGGAAAAAATCCTTCTTATTTGGAAAAATAGGTAGGTATGTAGGTATACATATCCTTCTAATTATATCCTAATCAATAAGATATTTAAATATACAGGTACGCAAGTTTTTTACTCTTGCAATTCGAGAGTCCATAATATTATACATCTCATAAATTAAATACAATGAATTGATTATTATTTATATTATTAATTTTAGTGTGATTTTACAAGTATTGAAGTATATATGTATTTTCATATTATGATGAATGTTGATTGTATGAATGTCAGAATGTATGATGCCAAAGTCGTTAGGTAATAATATATATATTAATATAATGAATAATAATATCATAGTTCACGTTTTTAAATAGAAAAGTAGAAAGTAAATAGTTCGAACAAACTAAATTTTCAACAGTTTATGCAATACTGCAAATTTGCAACTATACATGATTTTAGTATAGGTACCTAATATTATAATATTTTATGTACCTTGTGTAACCGTATGACACACGTAAGTTGTAGGTAGGTTAGGTACCTTGTCGTACAAACGGTGTAGACTAGCCAGTACCTATATTAGATTATAATCATTTGTCTGGAGTGACAGATTTGGTCATCGTTAAATGGACTGTGGAGGGGGGGGAATTTCGCATGTAAAACATATTGTCACGTCATTTTAATTAGTGTTTGATAGTGTTGAATTAGGTATACTTGTATATTATTCTGCATGCTAATTATTATGACAGTGACCAGTGTTTTTTTTTAAAAATTAATTTTGAAAACTAATAAGTACCTATCTAATAAGTAATAAGCAATAACTTAATAACTAATATAATTGTATATTCATAATAACATTTATTGTTCATATTTAATTTAATACAACATTAAATAGGTGGGTAGGTACTTTTTTACTGGCTTAGAATATTGACTTCAATAATACAATTGAATATAATTAATATAACTTAAATTTTTTACTTTCTACGTATGAACAGCTCTCAAAATATTTGTTTTTTTCCTGAATTTTCTAATCGAATTCGGATTATACAGTTGTATGTGCATCCAAGTGAATATATTGGTATAGGTTATATTGGTTATAATATTATCATACAACAATAGGTAAGTCTTAAATTTTAATCCTGTTAATATACCTAAGTGGAGAACAATAATTATACACTAAAAATATTTAAAATAATATCATACTAGGCACTAGGTATATTTTAATCAAATATGAGTAGATATTAGAATTCTCGTAAACAAAAGCTGGTTGAGATAAAGTATATCTTAATTTTTTTAAAGAATGCAACAAGTATAGGTAACATATTTTTATAATGTGCATACGATTGGCAGTTGCCACACCTAATTACAGAAGCAAAAGAAAAATGTTTTTTGCCTGCCTACCTATTACAAAATATTTTCAATTTTCCTTTAGATATTATATTATATACCTACTAGTTGCTATCACTTAATAGTAAACATAGCTATTCTAATAAATTCATTATAATGGACAACCGTGTATTAGGTAAGTACCAATATAAAATACATTAATAAATATAAATATCTATAGCCTAAATATTACTATATAAGGTACCTAACATTGGCGTAGCTAGAGGGGCCTAAGACCCCCCCCCCCATATTATTTTTAAAATTATACTTTCATTTATCACGGGCACGAATTGGCTTTACAAAATTACATTTTGGTAACATTAAAATACATAAAAGTATAAGAAATAAGACTTAGAAACATACGACATTTGTATTTTTTTTTTAAAACACAAGTTTAAATTAACATTATTGAATAAAAAAGGTAATATTAAAACTTCACTACAGTGGCATAATCAGGGAAATATGGACTTTTTTTGGAATTTGTAGGTCATATTATTTAACATTTAATGATTATTCTTAAGCCCTAAAAAGTAACAGTAAAATATTTTAGATCTCCCCCCCGGACAAAAATCATGATGGTCAAACTAGCTACAGCAAAGAATCACACAGATAATGTTCGTCAATAAGTTAAGTTAGACAGAAACGGATCGGAATTTGAATAATAAAACAAACTGCAGATCCATTGTTACTTAGGAAAAACTATTAGGCACCGTACAATAGTCAGATTCCGTTATTTTTTTTAAATTTCAAATAAAAGGACATTTTGTGGGTAGGAGAAGCCCGATATTTAAAATTACAATTATAGAAGCTAAATTATGCGTTTGAATAATGTATAATATTTGTTACTTTTCAAACTTAATTTTCTAGCACTGTTTAAAGTAAAATGAAAATTCGGGCTTTAATTCGACCTAAACAAGTTCTAATTTTTAAAATAAAAAATAAATTATCAAAATTCGAATTATAAATGAGGTGTGAGAGTTTTCCTGTAAGGTCACTTTTGTTGATATAATACACTGCAGTATATAACCTACCACCTACCACCTATATAATCTTCCTTAAATAGGCATCGGGCAGAAGATTAGTGGATAATTGTTATAACTGAAATAGCAAGCAACAAAAATATAAAATATAATTTTCAAATTAGGTATTAAAATTAAATTTTTAAAGCTGAAATTGATAAAAAAAAAAAACAAAAGAGCACTTTGTCCCAAGAAAAAGACGCCTTAGATATACCTAATGCGTATCTAAAGAAACAACTTTCAGAATAACTAAAATATAACGATATTATTGACACATTTGCTGTAGAATGATTAATTTATAATACATTTTTATAATATTGCCTAACTATATTTATCGGCATAACAATCTAGTTATAAAGGGGCACTTTATAATGATATTTTAGTATACAATAATATATAGGTGTTATAATATTACACACGTAAAATATGTTTTTTTTAAATATATTAATATATATGATATTATAATATAATATTTGTGATTTTTCCATTCAGAATTTCCATAAATAGAAGTATAGAATCTCTATACCTACTATTTTTATAATAAATTAATAATTGTACAAGTCATAAACATATATTATTATGATGCAAAATTTAGTAGTGGTTTTTGAATTATTATTGAATCAATTATCAACCCCATAATATGTTACTCAATTGCCAGACAAAACTCAAAAGATGAATTAACAGTACCCATTCAAGATTTAATAATACATTAATACCTATACGGCTATACCTATAATAAGTTTAATATTATATTTTTAATTGGGTTGTTGAGGGTCGTAAATACCACCCCCCTCACCCTTGAGCTTATTATAATCAAATTTATTACAATGTGACTTGTGAGAAATACTAGTTATATTCAGCGTTACGTACCGTTATAACGATAATAACGTACTTACGTACCCACTACCCAATGGTAATATTAAAAAGTATGTTATTGAGTATAAATAGTATCTGTTAATACATTTTAATTACCCCCCTCCTCCTTGATAAATTACTAGATCCACCCCTGCTTACAAGACGTGCTATGAACTAAAACATTTACTTTCAGCAGATTGTGTTTAGTTTCGTTTGTTTAAAAATTAGAATGAATTCTTGATGGTATAAAAACATTATTTGTGTTTGTACTTCTGTGGGTTCTTCAAGATAGTTCAATTTTTTAGCAAGTTTTTTGTACAAACACAGATAATCTTCTTACCATCAAGTTTCATAATAAGTCGATCACTCTAATTTTCAAACTAATGAAGCTAAACGTGACCTACAGAAGGCTACAACAAAAAATGTCCACGTAGCGTCCTCTTAAGGTTTATTGGTTTTATTTTATTAGTCTGAAATGGTGTATATGAAATTGGATCTTAATTAAAAACTTTGGAAATTATCGTTGAATTGAGGCACTTAATTTTGAATGTATTATGTAACAAATAAATTGAGAAACCTGAAACACACTTAATAGTTATTACTTTTTCAATCATATATGATTCGAACAAAATTATATAATAAGAGAACCTATATAACTTGTCCACTTAAAATTCACCTAACTCAGTTATCTTTTTTTTTCAAAATTCGAGAAAAAATGAAAATAATAAAGTTACCAAGGTGACTGAATTATAGTTATCTTCCTAATTTTTAACATAACTAAAAACACTCATTTTCCTGGAGTTGACATTTTCACAAATGAATTCGTTGAATTAAAAAAACCCTAAATTAGGTACGAAATTCTAACGAAATCCTTGAAGACATTTTCGAGAAAAAATGTATAGGCACACTATGTTGAACTAATTGTTAATACTAGAGTATTTATAAATAATTTACGAGAATATGTTATTACTAATTAATATAAAATACTATCAAATTGTTATTAAATAATTATTATTAAATTAACTAAGAAATAATAAAATTATCAACACAATTTGCTATGTAAACAAAAATTGATTTTGTAATTTGATAGTTCATTAAAAATAAATATTTAGTAAAAAAGGACTTTGGATTTATTATAAAAACCTTTGTCTCACAAATAGTCGTTATTAAATTGTAAGTAGTTATAATAAGCTGTTATTATTTTTAGTGCTGACCTGCAGTGACCACTATATTATAGTCACCATAGGACTTAGAAGCACATCAAACATTATTATAATATTATAATAAATAATAATATATAATCTGTTTAATTTAACGTTCATATTTTTGGTTGAAGAATGTAACTTGATTCGATAATTATTTTTATTATCATTTAGGTATTTCTTTGAAAAAGATAGTACACATACATAATTTACAGCGATTACAAAATGTCAATTATGATAGGTAGTGTAATAATTTTTTTTTGTACAATATGTGACTTGTGGTCAAATGTATAATGCAGCGGTTCCCAAACTTTTACGACCACGGCACCCTTAAAAAATTGTTTGTGTTTCGCGGAACCCTAATGTCTAATCCAACTCAACTACAATTTTTGTAAATTAAAAAAGGAAAATCAATTCCTTAAACTCTCAAGTCCAAATAATATTTTAATGATACTGTTAATGACTTTTCATTATTAAACTTAGTTTAAAAAAAAATTTTCAATCAAACATTTTTTAAACAACAAACATTAAATAAACATAATTTTCTCAATAATCTCATACATCTAACGGAACCCTTGACATTGTCCCACGGAACCCTAAGGTTCCGCGGAACACACTTTGGGAAACGCTGGTATAATGAATCATAATAATCTAAAATCTTATCAAGTACTGGCTATTATAATACCTTTAGAAGCGCGTAGGACGTATAATTGTATAAAGCTATAATTATCTAAATAATATAACATAGTTAATATTCGGAATTCAACTGGATCGTATTTTAAATTTTAACTTATATAGGTACATGATGATTTTGTACAGCGTACAAAATACAGACGTTGAGGTGTGAGACATAAGGCACTAATTATTTTGAAACTCTATCAATATTTAGAAATAAATGCGTATTTATGTATTTTGTTATAATTTAGGCAGCTCAGTATAAAGACAATTTTGCCCCCCTCCACACCTTCTATTCTGGAGCTTTTCACGTCGTGTCCCCAATTTAATAGTTAATGAATAATTTCAAGATAACAGAGATGAACGAGTCAATGTGACGTGTCTTGTAAATTAAATTTGAAATAAAAGTAATATCATTGTTATTATAATTCAACGAATCGTCAATAATTATTCATCAATAAAAATCCGCGTTGGAATAGTCTAACCAAAACCCCTTATGTCGCGGGTGTACCGTGGGGGCGTGGGTACCTTATAATGCACAAAAGACTTATAAGGTAATTCGTGTAGACCGCGGCCCGCAGCAACGGAAGTAGTGAAGCCGGACGTGTGCGACTTGCGTCGTTATCAGCCGTTTAATGGTGTTATCAGGTAATGTCGGATCTGTGCAGTGTTGGTATTACTTCTGATAAGTTTTTGTTTTATTCTCCCAATATTATTATTACTATATATCCATTATTATTGTTATTGTGGTCTCCGATTATCGAATGCGCCGACTCTGAACGCCGAGCCCCGAGCGCCCGAGCGGACAGTTCTTCAAGTATAGTAAACGGTGAACCGTAGTGCCATAGTATTTACTATTTTGAAGTCAGTACTTCAGTAGTCCATAGTCATTAGTGCACTGCTGAGTGCAGGCTACTGCAGTCGTAGTCGGTAGTCCGTAGTCGACAGACGCGTGTAGTCCGTAGATGCCTTCGTAGTAGGTAGCCATTAGAATATACCCGCCGACTGTCCATGGTCCACTGTGGGTGTTTGCACGATTTTTTTACGCTTTTCAGACAGTTTTGAAGATAAGCTCAACAATATTATTGAGAGGTCTGCAGTAACCGGCTGTGACCGGCGCAAACGGCTGACGGAGTGAGATTGTGACCGACGAAAGATGTGCCGGCGTTTCGTTTTTCTTGAAATCTAATATGACCGGATAACTTTTTAATAACAATTTGAATATTCTCATCGGATCCTAAATTGCCGCTGCACGATGACCAGTTCGTCGTAACACCTACTACCCTCCCGGCTGGCCATCATATCCGTTTGTTGACGTTGCCATTGATCTATACTGTACGGTTTCTTCAAAAATTCAACCTTTGGGTAGGTACTTGGAGGTGCTGGGGTAGAGTAAATTGTATAAGAAGCTTAAGCCAAATAGGCCTGCACTAATTTTGAAAAAAGTTGTGTAAGACTTTGGAACCAAACATTTGTTAAAATACTATCATCTGTTGAATACTTAATATTTTACATCATATTATTAGATTTGTCTTATTTTACTTAATGAATATATATTACATCTCTTATTAATTTATCGACTGTCTAACCCAAGATCTTAAACAGTTAGGTATTAACAGTATACAATTTGCAATTTAAATACCCATCATTTTTAACCATGCCATTTTTATCGACAGACTATAGGTTTGGAGTTTTTAGGAAACTAGATATAAGAATAAATTGGTAGTTTTGGTAGGGAAATAGCCTGAAAAATGTTAACTTGCCCCAGTATGACTCATCACCTATGTGTGCTTGGTATATTGTTCTAAAACAAGTATTTTAACAACTTGATTCAGGTGTTTTGAGTTCATCAGCGATAGGTACAATGTCAAAAGTCATTGATCTGTACGAGTTTCTGCTGGAAGCAGAACTTCATCAGTACTATTCAGAACTCAAGAACGACTTGAAGGTAAATTTAGATAACTACTACTTAACTGCAGTACCTACCTGTTACAAATGTTTATACATTGGTGGTAATGGTGGTGCATTATTTGGTTTTAGGTGACGACTGTGCCTCAAGTAAAGTTTGTCACTGAGGATGATCTGTATCAGATAGGCATGACAAAGCCAGAGATCAGACGCTTAAAAAAATATTTCCAAAAGTATTATCCTCAAAATTATTTCTCAAAGTTTAAAAAAGTAAACAGTTACTTTAATTTTGTTTTGTGATTGTACTATATAATACTATGTCAAATTTTTAGTTAATTTCTTCTAAAGACAATAAAGAGCAGTGGAGCGAAAGTTCTGGTTCACAAGATACACTAAAGCCTATTTATGAAAAACGACCACCTGCTCGTGTTCCCAACAAACATATTATTCCAGCCGATTCCATAACTATTAACAAGGAGTTAGGTGCAGGCGAGTTTGGTGTAGTCCAGCAAGGCGTTTGGACCAACGAAGGAGACAGAGTTAGTTTTAAATGTGTGATATTTATTTTTTTTCATAAATATTAATTTCAAAGATTTTTTAATAGATTCAAGTTGCCATAAAATGTTTGAGCCGAGAACGTATGCAAAATAATCCTATAGAGTTTTTGAAGGAAGCGGCTATTATGCATAGCATTGACAATGAACATATTGTACGATTGTATGGAGTAGTTTTGGATACTGATGCCCTAATGCTAGTAATGACTAATGTTTTTTTTTTTTACTAAGTTCCTATTTATGAATTAGGTGATTAATTGGTATTAAAATTGTGTGATTTAATTTTTAGGTAACAGAGTTAGCACCTTTGAGATCTCTTTTGGAATGTTTAAAAGAACCATCACTCCGCGCAAGTTTTCCAGTAATGTCGTTATGTGATTTTGCTATACAAATATGTAATGGAATGCATTATTTGGAAACCAAACGATTTATACACAGGTATTTTACTTAAATTCGAGTATTTCAATTAAATGCATTTTATTACTTTTTTTTAGAGATTTAGCTGCTAGAAACATATTAGTGTTTACAAAAAACAAGGTGAAAATTTCAGATTTTGGATTATCTCGAGCACTTGGTGTTGGTAAAGACTATTATCAAACTAACTTCAATGTGAATCTGAAATTGCCAATTGCCTGGTAATGAAATTTGGAATATTCAATGTATAGTTTTTGAATTATGTCTCTAGGACATTCAATTTTTACGTTTGATTTAGGTGTGCACCTGAGTGTATAAGTTATTTACGTTTTACTTCATCTTCTGATGTATGGGCATATGGTGTCACTTTATGGGAAATGTTCAGTTATGGTTTTCAGCCTTGGGCAGCTCTCACAGGTCAACAAATACTTGAGGCTATTGATGAACCTAAGTTTCAGGTAGTTTTATCTTTAAACATTAATATTTTAATTTTTTTATATTATACACATTTAAATTTCAGAGATTAGAGCAGCCTGATTGCTGCCCAAAAGAATATTTCAATGTCATGAGTAAATGTTGGCAACATGAACCTACTAAAAGACCTAAATTTGCTGATTTAGTATCAATTTTACTTGATGTAAGTACTATTAGTTACTATTTGGTGTAAAAGTTATTTTTGAAATTAATTTTTATGAAATACTTATAATATTAGTGTAAACCAGAGCAAGTGCAAACTGTTGTTAACTTTGAAGACAAAAAAAGAGACATGCTCCACTATACTATTGGGGAAGTTATAACAGTACTCGATAAAACGTGAGTATACTATAAATTTAAATAAAAAAATATTAATTCAAACAATACATCAATAATATAATTTTTGTTTCATGTAGACCTGGTGTTCCCACTTTATGGAAAGGTGTACTGTGCAATGGAAAAACTGGTTTTTTCAATCCTTCCAATACTGTGGCGTATTTGGGTTTAAATTTACCATCCAACAGAAATTCTGAATTCACTAGAAATGGTAATAAATAAATTATCAGTTTTCATTTGCATTTAATTGTATATATTTAAATTATATTACAGACTCAAAGTATGCATCTCGACGTAGTCGTTTAAGGATCGATATGATATCTTGTCCTCAAGGCGACGTTAAACATATGGGACATGTAGGTTTAGATGGTGCATATTTTGGAGATATTGAATTCATGAGTACAAATGCTCCAAAAGTAATTAATAGTTATTTAACAATGTTTCTGACTGATGTATAAATGTATAATTATTCTTGTGTTATTTCATATCTCGTTTAGTATAATCATTTACCACATCAAGTTGTAGCTCCATATAAACCACAAGAAGACTGTGCTAGTGTAAGTGATTCTCCAACTTCAATTAAGGCTTGTTCAGATCGCGCTCCATTGCTTAATGGCGATAAATCAGAAAGCAAAAAGAATGGTATTTATTAAGGATTGTAAAACTTGCAGTAAAGTTATTATTATTTTTGTTTATTATTATTAGTAGATTTAACAACCTGGTTAGATAAAAATAAGTTGTCAAAAATTTTGACTGACCATGAGTACCATGAAATTAGTGATGAAGATACTATTGCTGAAAGTCCTAGGTTTGAAGTAAGTCTTTTGAAAAAATTCTTAAATTTAATTCTTTAAATATGCTTCAATTAATTAAAACATTCAAAATTATAGTATGATGTCTAATATTAATGATTTTAGTTAGTATCTAGCAAGTATCTATAATTAAAATACTTACATATTTAATTATTTAAATAATAAGTTCAAATTTATCATAAGTATAGTTATTTTAAAACAATAGTCTCAAAACATTTTATTTTAGAAAACTTTTGATTTTGGACCAAGCCTTGTTGAAGAAATGGAAACCATGTTTAGAACTATAAGTACTAATGGAGTCAGTAACTATGCTGTGTCTCCACCAAGGTCTCCGCTTGATCCTTTGGATACAAATCACAGAAATGAATTACGAGAAATTGCTGCTACTATTGCTGCTGCCGTGAACTCAAAGACCAAAAAAAAACAAGCTACGGTAAAATGCAACATAAAAAAATATACACCTAGTTTTATTTATCTCAATGAATAAGGATATTAATAATAATTAATAAGCATATTACAAAACCTTTTTTGTAATATGCTAACAAAAATTTGACACAATATACTATTTTTCCAAAGGTTAAACCGATATCTGCTTCTGACGAAAAGAGTCTAGATTCTGCTATTGCAATGGCCAATGAAATGGCTAGTCGTTCAATGGGATCTGATATAGAACAACCACATCACCAGATACCTGAATCTCCGTCATCTCCAAGCAAACGTAAGTTCACGTTCAAGTTTCCTCCTCCAATTGGGTCCCTCACCAAAACCCCAAAACACGAAACCAAGACGTTCACTGACGAAGCTGCTTCCATCCCAGACATTCAGGTAAGAAATAGTTTGGATTATTTTATACATGTGCTCTTAACTGCGTTTACAATACTAATCTCTAAAATATATCTCCCTCGTTCTATTCCTTCCGATGCGTTTATATTCATCGCTTGTAGTCTTGCAGTAGTTTGCATTCATTTTCGTCATTTATCAGCGCCGAATCTTTGTTGGACACTGCACCGTTTCGTCTGCCCCTGTGGGATAAGGCTTCCACGGAATTCTATTTTGCTCGCTCTAGAGAGTTATTGACCAAGGCCTCTCCCAGTATAGGTTCACTTGACTACATTTCTTGTAACTCATTGAAGACTATTGAACGGTCCTATGTTGATTCTACCGAAACGCTAGTTGGCGAACAGTATTCGTGTCCCAGTTCACCTAAACTAAGGAATAAAACAAAAAACGTCGAAGCTTTTCGTGCAAATACTCTCCCCAATAGCAAAAAATGTGACAAACTGAGGCGGAGTTTGTCGGATTCTGAGAGTAGCGTATTGTACAATTCCAACGATGTTCTAAACAAAGTTCCTATAAATATCTGTTTGATCGATGACGAAACTGCTGAACTCTAAGTAGTAGTATTCGTAATTGCTTATAATATTTTGTAGCCGGTAGTAGTTGTTGTATATATTAGCTGTACTTATATAGTTACTATGCAGGAAGTTGAATTTTAGTGATGTTATCTTGAGATTATTGTTTTATACTTTTATTCCAATAATTAATGACGTATGATTTTCTATTAAATTTCCACTTATTATTTCAATTTAATTTTCTGTAATCGAATAATATTTTATTTTTTATAAAAAACATACGAAATACATCATACAAACATACGTCATACAATTTTTTACAACTAAAACGTTTTTTTGCTTTTACCCATGTACCTATATTTTTGATTGGTACTAAAAAAATAATAGGTAGGTATTCATATTTGTATGTCTTAACTCAGTGTGTTCGCTGTAATATACGATTTATTAATATTCGGCCAGCTGTAAATCATAATATTATGATATGCATCGCCGGTTTTGTCGATAATGATTATAGTTATTTCTCTGCCTTAGCATTCGCCGCTGCGCCTTTTTCTGTGGAATAACTCTGAAATTGTTTAACTAAATGCACATGTGGGCTCGAAGCTCGAACACACACTTTGTTTATATAATAATTTCAATTAATATGATGCTTGTTGCACACTGTACCCAGATGGTGCAGTAATAATGTTTTGTATTTTACCAGAAATGTACCTACTTGTAAAGTGAAACTTATAACGCATGCTAAAACACTAAATTCGTGTTTTAATATACATAATGTATATTTAGGGTTTTAGGTAAACAATTTCTAGCTGGTTATTTTTGTTTACAGGTCATGATTCATGAATAATATTGTGTCTTATTAAAAATTATGATCGAAATGAATAAGTTTTTAGTTTATATCTTATAGACAAAACTTTTTTTTACATTAAGGTAAAATTAAAGTAACTAGTAAGCCGGTAATTGCTTGTAACCAACATGAAAATGCAAAACAAATTCTCAGAATTTAATAGTTTCGCATTAATTAGGTTTGTTTCTGACGTATTAAACGTACTTTAACACACATATGAACATACTAATATGCCGTTAGTTGTAATTTTTACTAATTTGCAATTTATAAAATGTATCTATTGGTTTGTCGAAGTATACAAACTGAAAAAATAATACATATTTAAATCATTTTTTTACAAAAATGTCTTGTTCCAATAATTTGTAAAAGCCACAATAATATATATTGTTTTTGTTTCAATGATAAATAACTGCCCAAATTTGTACACACGCCACAAATACATTATGCGTCATGCACATGCATGTGTAAAATAAAATATAGCACTAAATATGGTTAAAATAAAATATATTCTTAACAATCGTAACTCTTGAGCTTAGCAGTACAAATCCCAACCTAATATATAAAGATTGCATGTGAGTATGTGACTGTCATTTTTACAATGTATATAAATAGGTATATAATATTATATAGTGCCTTTATATAACGAAACTTTTTACAATCTGAAACTGTAATTTTGCTGTTGGCTTGTATAATACCAATAACTATTTATCCTATAATGCTCAACATTTATTATACGTATTTAATAGATTTTAATTGATAAAAAAAAGTCTTACTAAAAAGTAGTAACACTTTTTAAAAGTAGATATTTTTAACGCTGTTTTTCAGTTTTTTAGTTATTTAGTTTTATTTTTGTGTTTTTATTTTTTTGTTTTTTATTTTTGTTGCTTCCCATTTGTCCTTCTATCACCTTCCATCGGTTTCCTACGATCGCACTTGTATAGGGATGTTTAACCGAAGAAGCTAAACAAGCTTACAACGGTCTCATCGAAAAACCTACGACTTCTATGGATGGTGGCGTTACCAACTCGCTGAGAATATTGAAAAAAACCACAACTCCGGTGGCCAAACCGAAGTTCAGGCTAAACAAAAACGACAACGGGTAAATATATAAATCAGTTTTTATTATAAGAATCAGCTCCACAAGTGTGTGCTGAGACATAACATATATAGGATTCGGGTGCAAATGTGATCAGGCCTCTACTTTTTTTCTATGTTTAAAAGCTTATCCACGAGTACTCATAAATATGAAAAAGTATAAGTATATAAGCGTAGCCAGATTTTTATGGTCGGTGTTACTGAACTTAAAATGTTCCAAAATATACCGTGTGCTGGAATATATAATTTATAAAACAATTAGTTTCTATCGTTATTTTTATAAATGCTTAGGACTATAGTTTAAAAACTATGTTCCTTGGAAGTTATCGTTGATAATCTATATTCAATCTTAACCAACTGCAGGCTCCGAGTACAATATGATGAAGATTTCTATATAGGGAGGATATGATATTATCAACTAAGGTACAATATAAGAAAAATAGTGTTAGGTACGCGGGATACACTTCTGTATAAGTTATTAATTTGTCTTGAACTTGGCACCTATATGTATACAATTTCAAGGGGGCTTTATTCTTTACTCCAGCGGATTGTGAATAAAAAAACGCATTGAGAATGTTTATTAGTTTTAAATGCAATTTAACTGTTTATCTTTACTATTAATTATAAGTTATTATTATTTATCAATTCAGCTGAAATCAATTATAAATTATGATATTTGATTGTATTTTACAGGTCTTTGCAGTCCGGTGGCATTGTATTGTCCGAAGACTTCGAAAACGAGTCGAGTGAGTCTACGATTTTTCTGCGCAGTAACAGTTTTAGATTACTTTTATTCCTCACACCTTAATCATTTTAATTTACAGACTGTAACATCATACCGTTACCGCCCAAAGACCCAAGGGCCGTACAGCAAATGAACGCGTCGAAACCAAGGCACCAGAGGAAGTATCCGTTGGTCATGCCAAACTCCAGCGGTGGTGGTTCGTCGTGCCAAGGAGCCATGACGGGGGTTTCAGATTTGGAAAATAAAAACGAAATTATTGCAGATAGGAATCATTTCCAAGAACAGATGTAAGTGTACCCTTGTCGTTATTTGTTCGATTGCCTCGATTTATATTGTACATTGACTCGCCGAGACGATCATAAAGTCCCACTGCAATGCACTCCCCCTGGCCCCTGCAGTATTAATGAGCCGTAAGACTGCAACTTTTAATAACTTGTTTATAATATCCATAGATTAAAAATGTGTGTATTTAAGGGCTAAGATGGATTGTACTTAACAGTTTTAAAGACGTAATTATTATACTGTTGGCAGTAGTTTAAAAATTCCAATTGAAAAATCGATGCATAAAAGGCGTAATTTAATTTTCTGTTATAATATCATTCTGCAGTATTGTGTTGATGATTTTTTTCTTGAATCTTGCAGCAGTAATCATTTTTGAATTGAACAAATTGAAAATAAATGTGAATAGTTAGACGGTTCAATTATAACAGCTGTAACCACTAAGCATTTCTTGTGTTTGTTTTTAAATTACGTATCTTTCTTCAACTTACTCAATTTTAACTTTTAATGATTTATTGAAATAGGTATTTTTTATTAAGCTAATATCAACTGGTTTAGTTTTTAAATCTCCTAAGTCCCGCTTAGATTTCGAGAAAATCCATCCGTATTTTTGTAACTAAGACAATAATTTGCATCTTTTGGATTTGGAATTATATTAAAATGTATTTTGATTGTTTATTAATTATTTTGTAGTCGTCAGGAAGAAAGCATTCAACTAGTTTAACTTTTACTAACTTAGTATAAAGTTTTTACGTTTATTGTTGACTCAGACCCAGATTCTATTCTTAGATTTTCTTAGTTTCATAAAATGTATTAAATTATAATAATTATTATTATTATATTTCGTGCACCTCGATGAATGAAAAATTAACTCGTTTTAGATTGTTCTCGTTTATTTTCCTCGTTTTTGGGTACCTGTCAAGCTCTTTTTACATTAGCAGTTTATTCTTTTATAAAGAATTTTCTGTTCTAAAAAAACAACTTATCATTTTCTATGAGGTTTATAAAACCCTTAACCTACTGTATTATTTTAACTTTCGGAATTTAGACAAGTAAATACAAATAATATAAATTCCACGAACCATCAAAAATAAATGACGCGTTATTTTTGAGTTTTAACTTTTTGCTGTAGTTAGCTTTACGCAATTCGTCACTTTTCGTGTGATTCTTATTGGTGAACTGTCAGCATTAATTATAGACTCAGCTATGTATGGCTACCATGTCTATTGCAAATTTGCAAACATATATGTTATATGATTAATTTTGCCTACTGCCTAAAGCCTCCGTCCTGGTGTGATTTGCAGCTGGATGCGAAATCGCATGACGTGTCGCGATGTAGTTGATGTATCGTCAGTAAGTTTTTGCTGATCGGTTTCTAATTTGTACTTTTTTAATTAATAATATTAGTATTAAAAAATGTATGTAAGTGGGGACTATAGTGGCTATTGATGTTATACAACCTAGTTGATTTTTGTGGGATTTAGTTAAGTACCTACCTATATTGACAGTTGTCAACATAGTTTATCAGCTGGTAAGGTGTAAGCAAAATGTCATTACAATATTAAGACCTAGTATGTGGCTACTGGCTAGGTATGTCCTGTTATAGGATTCCAAACAAAACTTATACTGAACTACTAAAGTAAACAGAAAAGTTGCAATAAATTCATAAATAGTTTGAAAATATGAAGATGAATTATGGATAATATAAGCTAATTTAAACAATTAAGTATTAACGATATTCCTTATAATGAAATTCTAGTCACAGGCATAGGCTCCTGCTGGTGGGTGCATTCCCCTTCCCATTGCTATTTTAGTAAATATAAATTGTGTATCACCTGTGAAAACAGAAAAATTGTATTTGCTGTGTTATCAGATACTCGATTTTGCCCCCTCCGCCCACACGTATTTCTGCTGGCACCCTTGATCATAGGTGATTTAAGTCCCCGCTGTTAACTTTCTTATAATGGCACATCGCTGTTAAATCTTAAACTGCCAATATGTTTATATTTACTTAAACATACCATTACTACAACTTACCTAAGTAATGAATTTTAGTGACTACGAGACCATCCTCAAAGTGAAAGTAGATTTCAAAAGCGAGACAATGCTCACATAATAATATCTGACGCTATATACGGACATACGGTTGACGTTATTTTATAGTGTGACTAGGTATTTAAGTAGGTACACTATCATACACTATAAGGTAACCCATATATGTCGGCAGAGATATTGTACCTTGACGATACATACCCATGTCCTAGGGTTCCGATTATTTATTCCGATAAATGTATCGGAACTTTGGGCCCTTAAGAGAGAGGATACAATATATATATGATATAACTGTCATGTTTTAATTTAGATAAATGATTGTAGTAGTTTGATATAATTACATTGGTTTTCACGTGGTTTTTCAATTCGTTTTTAGTACCTCTGAAGTGAGTTTCGACGAGAGAATCGCCTTAGAACTAGACGCCCTGGACCAGTTGGGCGCCGTTGAATCACCAGTAGCCGAACGTCAAGCTCACACATTTCCGGTGATTCTTGAACCCCCCGGCTGCGACGAAGAGGAAAACTTTGAGCAGCAAAAAACATTTGACAGAGCTGCCGATGTTGTTGATCGACCCGAGCATGGCCGGGGTCTGGATTGCGACGAAGTCAGAATAATGATCAAAGTTCTCGGGACCAAAGTATGTATTTATGAACGAAATAAACACATAATGATATCCGTATTGTTAACTTGCGTGATTTTTTTCTTTTCTTTACCAGGTGTCAGGTGAACAGTGTTTGGACAAGTTAAGAGTTACTGGTTGGGATGTGCACCATGCGATAAAGTTGGCCAAACTAGAAACAGCTCTGGAGGCCGGGGGCCATACCAATATCAAACACAGCGTGTGCTTAAGCGCTTTAGAAAATACTAATTGGGACATTGTCAAAGCGGCCAGTGGTATTATTGATAACATGGGGGCAACTATCAATAATAGGGGTATTTTAGTATAAGTTCAGCAATATTAAAACAATGTGCCAAATAACTTATCCTAATGCAATATTTAAATTATATTTTGAATAACGTTTTTTTTTTTCTGGAAACGCATTATTTTATTAAATTAGTAGTTTTATTTAACATGGGATATAACTTGCCAATAAGTATATTGTAAGACTTCTTTTATTTTTGGACCAATTTTTTTACTTCATATTGTTTTTTTTCCATTTTTACCCTGTATAAGTTCCTGTTCCTACTTGAATCTTACTTTATGTGAATAAAAATCAAATTGTAAAATAAGATTAAACCTTTATTATTATTTTTATTATTATTATTAATATCAAAATACATGTTATAAAAAATATATATTATATATACATAAGTATAAGTATAAGTGCTATTTTTTAACCGCTTATTTTACACAAAAAGTAATTTAACAATAGACTTTTGTATTACTTTGTATTTTTATACTTTAAATATATTATATACATATTTGTATGCACTTAGTTAATTTATCATATGCGAAACAAAATTGAAACAACTCTACACGGTTGTCTAGAATGTTTTTTAATGTTTATTTCCAATCCCATAGTGAGTTAGATAAACAATTGTTTCTTATTGTTTGTCACGTGTAACCACAAATCCCTTGATGAATGGTAAGCCGATTCCGACTTTCTCCTGATATGAAATGTAGTCTTCTCCGAAGAAATTCAAGAGTGTGATTTCCTCGTAATAGATTCGATCCTTGAAGAATTTCCAGCTGGCCAATGCGTACGCCACCACGCACACAGGATTGATCATGACAATCTAGACGTATAATTAAACAGTGTAGTCAGCACTTTTTGTTGTTAACCATGTTATTGATTTTGTGTGCATTACCTGTGTGCCTATGGACCAGTAAAACCATCCAACATAACTAGGATGCCTGAACCATGAATACACTCCGTGTGTGACCAGCGTATGTGTCTGCGATTTTTCTTGCTGCACTAAATGTGTGAAGTTATCCCTGGCAGTCCATATGGCACCCTTTCTCAAAGCCTCGCCAAAGGCACATAATAGAAGACCAAAGTAACTGATTTCATGAATAGTTTTCATATCTGAGAAAGTGAAAAGAACTTAACTATTGCTGTATGTATAGATTTATAGAATAATAATATTATAATATAGACTTTAGTATATTATAATTAGATTTGGTTTTAGCATTGTGCATAAAATAAGTAATATCCAAAGTGGCTGGATATTGTACATTATATTTTGCTCAAATTTTTTTGTTGACAATAATTTTAAATATTATAACAACATACATAACTAAAAAAAATCATTAAAAAATCTTCTTACTCTTAAATATATTAAAAACATAAATGACGAAGACAGTCTAATGTACTTTTAAAGCTTCATTACCACGTAAGAAGTAATGCCACAATAAATATTCTAGCCAACTAGTTGCAGCAGCTACACCATACGCGATACTGTGATTCAGCATGAACGATGAAGACGTTAGAGTTTTAGGATTACACACGGCTATACTGAGGAACTCTGAGTAATGAAAAATGGCCATCACACATATATACCTGTATGAAAAACAAATTAAATGAACATGGTTATTCTTTAAATGAAACATTAAGCATTTTGATTTATTTATTATAATATTTTAAACTATAATGAATCATTACTAATCATTATGTAAATGGTAAGAGTTTTCATTATAAAAAAGTTGGCTCGTAATGATAATTCAAAACATTTGTGCAAATTGAACAGAATGATAGATAAAAAATCACTCAAAATCTATTATTTTATTTATATAAAACCATCAAGATTTTCAATAAAGCAACAGTGTATCTCATTGTATTGGTTCAATATATCAACCATCTTTTTCAGGGTCAGACCTGCCAGGAGAAAATTAAGTAAGTTTGTAGAACAGACACAACACACGTGGTGAAGCTTTCTCTTAATTATTTGTCAAACACTAGATACATAGACTGAGCATTTTAATTGTTATATATGAAACGGGCGTCAAGTTGGTTCTCTAATTAATTTTATGATAAGTAAACATTAAGTTTTTGAATTAATGTAATCCTATCTAATGTTTCTCTAAGTACAATCTCATTATTTTACGTCACAGTAAATTCCTTAACTATTTCAAAAGTGCTGTGGAGCTGTGTGTAAACGTTTTAAAACTGAGTATATTACATTATCATGAATACGATATTGTGGTGACTATTGTGAACTGATAATTAACAGGAATGTAAATGAGATTTTTGATTGACATTCATTACCATCCAAAAGGCTTCCACGAGGCAGGTGCTTGGATCGAAATCAGCAATCCTGCAGCCATAGCCAGACCCAAGAACAAGGCCTGGGCACATACCTGAAAGGTTTGCAGACAACATGTTAAAATAGATACATTTAGCTCTACACAGTGGTCCATATGAAGATCACAATACTCACTTTATACGTGGTTCCTTGGTTGACTACACGTACCAGGACATTGGCGATAGCCGCATAGACGATAAACAAGCGCCAAGGGTTCACAACTTCAGGGTCGACATACGTGTCCAGCAAGTCACTATTCCGAAGCAGCAACCACACGAATAAGATGGACAAGCCCAACAGAAAACCGTAAACACTTACAACGCCATTTTTCGAAATCATTTTCCAAATATACGGTCAAAAGGTGGTGGTGAGTCTATGGGGCACGAGCTACGGCTTTACGCGTTTCATTTTTTACTTGTATCATACATTTAGAGAGTAGAGACGAATAACGAATTGGGTAGTATGCAGTCAGTACTCAGAAGCATTATTTCATTATCTATATTCTATGCTCAGTGGTAGGTGAACATCATAATAAAAATAAATATGATAAATATTAATTAAATAAACGGGATCTTACTTTGCGTAGTATTCGCGTTTCCGGAACCTTAGGCATGTCGGTGTTTACATCACGATTCGAGATAAGATTATAGACCTTATCTATTTAAAGTTTTAAACATTTGGTGTTTAATATTCAATGTTTACAATTTATATCGAGCCATCGATGACCGATTAGTCCGATTAGTCGATTTTTATTTCATTCATTTATTGAGCAATTTATGACCTCGGAAGTCAGAGTACTAGGGTAGTTGTAACGGTTCCTGACTTCCTGTTGAATCACTACTGAGTAGTGAGTAGTGGGTACTCACTAGGCAGAGGACAATACTTTGTAAGTCCATTTATCATTGATTTTTCGTTAAGACTTTAAGAGAATGTCAGTGCACCATTTGTTCCCTCTCTCGACATATCAAAATATGTATGTTTGGCAGAATCAACCCTGTGTTATTACTTTAAATTTTAATCTAAGATTGAACTCACCTATTATTAAACTTTAATCAAGTGCACTACCTGTGTCCGTATATTGGCTTTTTCACTATATTTTAATTTTTATACGATTTATATGCATTTTTAAATTGTTATAATTCACACACTCATAACTTAATAGAAATAAAAATATCATTAAAAATAGCCAACATAGGGTGTGTCCCTACACATGTAGTGTTCATAACTTAAAGTTTGATAATTGATGAGTTCACCCCAATAATATTAAAAGTAATAACACAGGGTTTGTTTTGCTAAACGTAAATTCGCCATATGGGTGGGTCATAGAGAGAAAATAAATAGTGTTCTGATATTCTCTTAAAAAAAAATAGATTTTACCTGTGGACTGTGGCTCCAACTATTAAGCATGCCAAGGATTGACAAACGTTACTTAAGTTGTCTGTTATTGTGTCATGTGTGATGTTTTTAATAATACGAAATCGATAAGTTGAAAAACACTGAGTTGCTATTATTGATAACTATTATTAATTATCAAAAATAATGATTGAGGTTTCAAACTGAATAGTCGTGTACCTGTGTAATTATATTTATGTTTATTATAAACTATTTTATAATTACAGTGTTCGAACTATACACTCGAAGCACATATTGATTCTAAATCAGATATTAATCAGGTTTCTTGTGATATACAATTCTAGAATACGATAGAATTATTTATAGAGGTTGGTAATTAGTTATCACATTGTTAAATTACAATAACTAAAGAAAAATTATATCTACCTACAGTTTGTAAAAACTGTATTATTGTTGATAAGTGAATAAGATAATTAGTTATAATTTATATTAATTTCTAGAAATTCAAAATGTCTGTCAAACAAGAGCATCCTTTAATTGTAAAATCAGAAACAAAACTTGACATTAAGAAGTGTAAAAATGATGAAGAATCTGAAAGGACTAAGGAGGGTAAAAATAATGAAGAATCTGAAAGGACTAAAACTCCAGATAATAAAGCTGAAGAAACAAAGATAGTTAAGACTGAGTAAGTATTATTTATAAAAAATACTTTTTACTACTTAATTCATTTTTTAACTCTAGTATACTAAGTAAATTTGTGTAATTTACATAATATTTTGTCTCTGAGTTAATTATTTATCAATTCATTTTTAATAGTAAGTTTTTTTATAATTAATATGAAAAGATATGTATAGAAGATAGCAAGCCTGTAGCACTCCTAATACATTTGAATACTTAAACTTTTTATTACAAAATGTTGGTAACTCATTTAAAGTGTATTTTTTTATTTAATATTATTAACTGTAAACAGCCAATCTCCTCATAAATTAAATGTATAAAACATTCTTTTTTTTATAGATCAGAACCAGTAATTGAAGAGAGGCCAATATTTGTATGCAAAAACTGTAATCTGACTGAACGATATGATTGTTTTAACAACCATGTTTCATTTAATCGCAATGTGGGAACAAAAGTTGATTGTTATTTAGCAAGAGATCCATTTTCTCCACGCAGCAAAAGACAATTCTTAATCTTAGGATCAGTATGTTCTATGTGTGATAAAGACGTTTGTGTTAAGCCTGAATGCAGTATATTTTATTCAAAGTTTTTCTGCTCTATATGTGCAAGAAAATATATTTCCAATTTTCCTACTAGTATTCAAGAAAAAATCAAATCTGCAAAAAGAATTTAAAAAATGACACAATTATAAAACGAACATAATTTATACCTTTTTGAAAATTGTTTAGTTTTTTTATTGTATATCTTTGTTATAAACATGAACATGGATAAATAAGATATGAATCAACTCTGTTTGAACTGCAACATTTTATATAATATTATTGTAAACTATTCTTATTTTTTTTTTTTTTATTGAAATGACAGTTTATTTTTAATTGAATTTGTAATTTTGTTAGATTTCACAAAAGATCTCATTAAGTATAATAAATATATCACTATCTAATAATTTTTAGTACTTATAAGAAGAAAAAGAAGATATAAATATTTTTTTTGCAATTCTGTTTATGTCACACCTACAGCAAAATTGTGGATCTCAATATCTAATATAATACCTATGCGACTATGCAGAAATGTATACCTAACCGAACTTATTGCCTATATTTACCTAAATATGATCAGTCTAATATAACACCTAGCAGCTAGGTCAGCTAGGTCCTAGCTACATAATATATTAATACAATAATTGATCCTTATGTTTGTCTCAACTGATTGCATATCCACATTTCATTAACGATATGGGTTTTTAAAATCTACTTTAAAATGTACAACTTCAATGGTCGTATTGCCTTGAAATATTTGAGGTTGGATGCAATGACAGTAATAATTTAACATAATAGCTTCCATACGAAATGGAAATAAACCACGATCGAATAGTTTTTTGAGGCTGTATTAACTGTAGTGGTACAACCCAATTTTGTTAGTGATAAAATTCAAAATTGAGATTTGTATATTGGTTTTTGTATACCTACTTACCTTAGTTCACAGGCTAATTTCCGTTGCTCTGTGAACTAACTCGACCAAGATGGACAGTCAATTTGTGGTGGATTGTATAGCACTTGATATAAATCGAACTTGGTTCAAACTAGGTACTCTTTAAACTTTCTTAATATCTCCAAGAAAAATGTTCACAAAATCGGTTTTTAAGTTTATAGGTAACTATATAATAGTTACAAATATACTTTCAACTCTCATATTTGTTTTAAGATATAATTTCTTTATTCGAAACCATAACGTGACGATTTTATGAATTTTTTTTTTTTATTATTATAATAATCTTCATAAATTACATAATACATACAATAAAATGTTAATTACTAGATTTATCTATCTCTTTAGGCAGTAGCTTGTGTTGAGATAGAGAGTAATACAAAATAATAATGCTATGTGACTAAATACAAAATAAGAAGTTTAAACATTAACGTAGGTAATAAGATATTTGAGTGAATATTAAGATGAATACAATTACAATTACACTAGAGACAGATCAAAAGAAAAAAAAGATATACAAAAGCATAAAAATAGATAGGTGTTCAGAAGAAAGAGGAATTAATTATATTAGTTGGAAGAATAACCAGTGGTATATAATTTTTTTAGGATTAGTTTTGGTACAGAAGACGTTTTTTTTATATGAATATGACATAGTATTAAAATAAACCGATCCTAAGTAATTAAGAAAGGATTGGCCGAATGATTTTCTCGTGTATTTTACTGGAATGTCATAAAGTCTGCATTCCCTTTTACCATCATAGATTTTTTTATTTTGACCTTTGATGACACTCTTAAAAATGAACATAATTGCGATATTTTTATAAAGTAGCTTAATTGGAAGAACGCAAATTCTTATTAAGTTGTTTTGGTTTACCTGCAATATGTTAGTAGTGCAGTCACCTAAACCACCCCATACTAGTAGCCCATATTGCAAGATTGACTGGTATAAATCAAAGTGAACGAAACTTTTATACGAATGCTTTTACATCATCTACCATAATAAAGATTATCTATATATTAAAACATCTTAAAGAGGGTTTTAAATGACCCAGAGAGGGCTAAACGCCCTCCCTATTTACGTCCATGCAATGATTCCAAAACCAAAAATAATGCATCTCTTAGTTCTAGCGATATTGTGTTTGGTATCCTCACTGATAATTAAGCAACTTTATAGTGCTATACTTTTTATGATTATTACTCAACATTGTTGCCTCATTTTTTAACTGTTTGAACACATCATCAACTGTACGTTTACCTGCGGAATATGCATCATACAACAAAACATTAACATTCAATAATCAAAAGTATGAATAACAAGTATTATGTAGTAAGACTAAATTAATTTGTTATTTAAATATCACACTTATCAACATGAGTATGAGTATTGAGAATTATCTTTTACTGTTTGTCAATAAAAATTTGTTTATATTTTCGTAGAAAACGAAAGGCATATTCTCTTTCATTCGTACGCACAGCCTGGCACAAGTAAAATAATACTATATTCACGAGTATTTTCAGTTACAACAAGGAACTGATAAAATTTTAACTTTACCAATACACTTGCTGACTTCCACTCAGAAAAGTCGATCAACTATGGCTGTTAAAAATAATTATACATTTAAAAATTGAATGTTTCTTAAGTTTATATACTAAAAAAAAAAAAAATTGTTTGATATAAGAATGCGCACTAGTGAACAAAATATGTCATAAAAACATGGTTTCGTACTCCAAATAATACTGCTTATTGGAGCGGTTTATAGCAAAAATACCTATTATTAAAATAACTTTAGGTACATTTTATCTATAATCTTATGGGGCCCGATTTTCGATATTTTTATTAATTAGTTAAATAATTGGCTGCAACTTGTTTGCGCACACAAAAATAATTAAATTTTATTTCGGCAACAGATCCCCACATACACCAGGTAACAGACATGATTCTTAAAATACAAACGGAAACAGAATTAAAAATAATATAACTATCGCCGTAAAGAGTCAATAGAATCAGTCGAACATCGCATAAACTTATATGGACAAAATATACATCCGGCGAAATAGACTAAATTAAATACATTCAAATAATGGGAAACTGTTATTACGGAAAATGATAGACATGCAAATTATCCTACACGTATATTTACCAATCATATTATATTACAATTAAAATTAACATGCATTTTTTAACTTGAACAAGTATTAAGAAGCAAGTATTAACATGCATTTTTAGCCACACCTATAAATACATTCATAGACAGTCCTAAGTCTGTTAAAGGGGAAGGAAAATGTATGTAAGTACTTTAATAATTTACTTGTAAACAAACAAATATTAACATGCAAGGAATTAAATTATTAAAGTCTAAAAGGTAACTGTGCGCAAACGAAGTGTATGGTTACGGCTCAACTGTTCCCAAACGAGTGGTAGTTTTGTGCCCAAACAAGTTGTCTTTTGGGTATTTGTGCGCAAACCAGTACCTCCCAAATAATTAGTCGATAATAAGTTAAAAAACTTGTTAATATACCATGCGGTATTGGACGATTGGAATACAATATCATAATTGGGCTTACTGTTGTTAAAAACTTGTTTTTTAATTTTATTAATTTTATTTAATTTTTGTTGTAATTAAGTTTATATTATTTGTATGTTTAGTAGGTACCTACTGTCTTATTTAATATTTAATAAATACCTATTTAATTTCTATTTTCAATACTATTATGTATTTATATTAAGCTGTATTATGCTATATTGATCTTAATTATTATTAATTTACATTTTTTTTTTTCATAATATAAATGAAAATCTATATATTTCCAACGAAAAAAATATTATTAATTTTAACAAAGGGTTTCTTAAATTTGAAGATAATTTAAATTCCATTAAATGATAACAATTGCGTACTGATTTTTATATAAATTATTCTTTAAATATACCTATATGAGTAATTTATTAGATATAAATAAAAATATCCCTGTAGTAGTATATAGTAATACGTAGTAAATATGCTAAAAACAAGGAAAATATTAGGATTACATTGGTAATACAACTATGTTATTACTTATTACTTATTTTTAAGCAATGAACTTTCTAATTAAGGTATCATTTTTTTGAAATATTAGGACATCATATCATTAATATCATTAATTTACAGTCATGTTTTACAGTTAAATAGATCAATTTTGATTTAATCAAGTGGAATGGTAAATCAATTGTCTAATAAAAAGTTGTTGGTATTTATTTTGGTACTTTTCTGTAATCCCTACTACCGCAAATCTCCATTAAGTCATCTCTACCACGCCGATGCTGCGACTACAATTCGCTCGATTACCTGTTGCCAACAGTTGTATTTCCGTTATTGTATTTATTAATTTTAAAATAATTATGAATTTGTGAAATTTATCGAACAGTGAAAAAGATGCGATTGAATTTTTTCAAGAGAAGGGTTTACTTCCGGGGCACCGTGAATGCAAAAACGGTCATAAAAAAAATTATACATCGGCCAAAAAGACATTTTTTAGAAATGCAACGTCAAGCATAAAACCAATATGCGTACGGGTAATTGGTTTGAAAATAGTCGTCTGTCATTTTTAACAACACTCCGATTTATATATTGTTTTAGTGCAGAATTGACCTCCGTTAAATTTTTTGAAAAGCATGAAGTTGTATTAATATACATTATTATATAAATGGCAATTCATGTGTTTTATGTATTAAAATATAGAACTATCTGGATATAATTAAAATCACAGGTTCGAAATCTTGCCCAATTTTCTTTATCAATATACACATTTTCTCAAATATATAAAACATTTTTCTGAGTGCACGTTCACCTTCTAATTTATTTATTTCATTAATTTAAGTCTTATTATTAGGACGTATTCTGCACTTTATTAATAAATGTTGAATCATTTGGTTGTTTTTAAGTTCCTGTTCAGTGATCACCAATGTATCACATTGACTGCTTTACTGCTCGCTTAAATGCACTAATTTAGTCAGCGAACCTATAAGAAATAAACAAGCGCAATTGCTAAATTAACGCGAACATCGGTTCACATACTAACATATAAAATATATATTATTATGTACGACGCGGTTTAGCTGTTATCTAAATTGTGCGATGTTGAAAATGATATTGAGAAGGAAAAATATGTGTTGTATAATAGCCATCCAGAAAAATGGTGTTAATGGCTAATCACTTCTACCTCCGTTTGCTTGTTGATATGGTATATTATAACTTATAAGTATATATACATATTAAGTATTTCATATATCTTATATAAAAAAGCGCAGGACAGGATACAATGTCTACTATCCGGGGTATAGGGAACAGAGCCCGTTAGAGGTGCCAGTCTCATCATTTCAGTTTTCAATTGAGGCGAAAAATTATTGACCAATCCAAATAAGGACCTAACTTTAAAAAAAACCGATCGCTCTGCTTGCAAGCACATTTCTATGCTCACACTTTATCAAATCACCATTCCCATCTTATACTTTTGGTAATTTACACATTTTTCTACTCTAAAATCTTTACAATAAAATCTATTTTATTATTAACATTCAACGTAATTTTTAAGTATAACGTAGCAGATGTTTTAGAAGAACAAGTATAAGTGCAGAGCTGTAATTGTTTTTAGAATTTGTATTAACTTTAAATTTCAGAAATAAAACTATTTAAATTTCTTATATTACAGTAGTACATACATAACAATAAAATTAATAATTATCAGTTATTATCATAATAATAATTATTAATTATGTTTCTCTTCGCGTACACCCACCGGCCACCACTCACCAGTCACACATTAAAAACGTTCATTCAACGTTCACATCCCCGTGCGTCTAAAATCTATATTATATAAATAATAAGTGTATTTTGTGAATTCCAACTATTAATAGTCAATGAATTATTGTGACAACAATTTCCTAGTACATGAAATAATATTTCTCAAAATATTATAAAAATAGACGTATTCTCTTCACCAAAAATAACCTATATACATACATAGTTGAACGGCGACCAATCAGGCTCCCCCGTTTTACAAATGAGAAGCGCAACTCCGCCAGTGAAAATAAACAGGTAAAATACTTTCATGGGAACTCGGCCGGTGAAGAAAATCAAGTTTAACAACATAAATTAAGCGTGACAGTGTTATCGGTGCTGTGAATATGGAATTTAGGGTCTCGGGTGGCGGCGAGAAGAGTAGGTTCCCGGAATTTACCGGCATCGCCATGACGGAGTAACGTTTTTTCCCGGGCATCGTCACGAATTCCAATTTACATTGGAAATATTCGACAGGTTATATTGGCCATAATGGCAAATTATTGGCAAGGGATTCGACAGGGACCACCTGTACTGTCCTGCTGCAACACTGGCAGTAGGTTCGCAGTGCAGCCCACAGACTGTCTGGTAGCTGCTGGTGTAGGCTACAGTGAGTTGTTGGTTGTAGTTATTATACATATACACTGTCGTGTTCTGTACCATACATAATGACATATTGGATATTATGTTAATCCGCGGTTGTAACTTGTAATAAAAGATAATAAAATATTAAAATCGAGTTCAACAAGTTGGTAACTGCCACGATGTTGAAATTTTCGACTCGTGTAATAAAACTAATCCAACTAATCCAAGTAGGTATTCGACATTGAGTCTTCACTCTTGATAACTTCAAACTACGAATGACGACGTAGGGAAAATTATGATATATTATACTGCAGCTGGTGACCAAACCGATCGACCGATTTGGCTATATCTGACGCCACGATCGCTATCGATTACATTCTATAAATTATTATTGCCTCAATCCTGCATTTGTGCCCCAATACAGTTACTCAATAATTACGTAGAACCTAATCCATAATTTCAGGAAATTTTTCTTGATATCCAAATATGAATTTTATCTTATTATATTTATAAATAATATATTTTATAGTGAAATCATGAAATGCGTGATCAATAATGAAAATATTGGGAGGCCCCGAGGCCCAGTGGTTGTAATTCCCAAGCACTGAACCACCCCGGTAGTTGTGTCACTGAATTCACTTTAAAGCTAACAAATATTGAAATAACAACTATGATTTCTTCGCGCTTCGTCAATCTACCAAATTTGCCATTTTGAAAGTGGCCCAGAGAGTGAAAACAAATAGTACGCAGAATGGTGATATTCTTGGCCAATCTATTATATTTTAAATTACAAATATAGATAGCCAACAGATACCCACGACCCACAATACATCTATAGTCCGTAGTTGGTTAGATTTTAGCATGGCCTTAGAAAATCTAAGGTTGATAAACAATTAATCAAAAATATTCGTGTTATAAATTATATTTAAAAAATGTTTAAATTATGTGATAATCATGTATGATATTTGTTACAGACATCTTGGGAATTGGGGGAGGGTCTAGCGCCTTAGTTCCTGCCTAAATAGCGTGTATACCACGCCGCGGCTAATCAGCTCACAATACTAATATTATTGAGTCTTGAGCAATGAGCAGCTAAATTACTGAACCAGTTATAAAACTCAAGTAAAGAATATAAAAATATGAATACCTACATCCATCATAATATTGAAATTTGAAAGTTAATTTTATAAATATATCGGATTGTCAACAGTGATGCCTATGGTTAAGGGAAATAATTTTTTGTTGAAAGTAACAGCCTGACTATTTTTGTTAAGAAAACAATCATTTTCAAATTCCCATCTTATTTGTTATTTTGTATTTTTCTGTATTCTGTGTTTGTTCGTTTTGCTGTTTGGGTGAGTTTTTTCCTGTTGTGAATTTTTGAGGTCGTGGTTTGAGTTGGGAGTCGTAAGCGTAACTCTTCTAAGTTATAGGTGTCATACTGAGATTGTGAATGATCTTCTACAGTGTTTAATTAGTTATGTTTAAAGTATTCAGGTGTTCTCATGTTTGTCGTAAACTAAACTAATCTAAACAGTTGACATAAAATCCATACAAATATTACATCTGTAAGTGTGCACTTAATCAGTTTTTAAAAATTATTTCTATTCATGTTGCATGTAGATAGTTGTATTATTTAACGATTTTATCCAGTGCAAATGGGATGTTTTATGGTGCAAATTTGATTTGTTGGTTTGCATAGTGTGTTCTGTAAAGGTTTGTTTCATTTGTGAATTAGTATATGTTGACGATAGGTTGGTTTCCAAGTATTGCAACCGAAAATAGGATGATAAATCGGGCCCAAAAAAGATTTGTCATCCTTGCTGGATTTATTCTAAGTATCGTTCACCCTCTCATGGCTCAACCAGGTGTAAGATTTTTGTTACAGGCTTTATTTGGAGACTTATAAGTCACTGTATTTATGCACCACCTCTTTTAAAACGACTTAACATCCAGATACCTAACAGAACAATGTAACATAACATTTTCTTATTTGACTTTGGGTCAAATTAACAGAGAAAAACATCTTTAACCAGCATAGTAGAGAAAATGTTTCTTATTATTTGTTAATAATCTATGTTACCTATCTGTATATATTATATAGGTAACTGAAGGCTTTATTTCTTTTTTTATAATCAGTTTCTCTTATTCCAGATTGAATCATGAAAAAGATGGAAGATCAAAAAAAAAGCCGATATGGTCGTATATCAAATAAAAGAAAATTTAATGAAGAGCTCGACTTGTCTTTGGGTGAGTCGTACCGAAAAATAAATTTTATATTGAACAAAAAAAGCAATGGAAAATCCTCTTCAATAGCCTCGGTTAATGACATGAGTAATGGCAAAAGGAATGTATTTAACGTTGGTGACATGGTGTGGGCTAAGACAGGAAAATATCCAGTATGGCCAGGAATTGTAATTACAGACCCAGAAACAAATAAGTTTTCTAAAAGTATGTTGAAATAATGTATTATGAATCTAACATTTTTAATTTTAATTTTTATGGTCATGTTTTAGATGAGAATATGATACCAATGTTGCATATTTATTATTGCAATGACGCTTATAAAAGAAATTGGATTAAAATGAAACAAATTTCTAAATTCACTGGTAAAGAAGAAATATTAACAGAAATTCCCAAAATAACTGTAAGTTAAAACTGATAACATTAATATATTATTATTATCAAGATTTGTGTTTTGAACAATTTGCAATTTTTAAATATGATGAATATTCTTAGGGTGCAGTTATAATTTAATCAAAAAATAAAATACATTTTTTATTTATAAAATTATTATTATTGTGGTAGTGCCATAGTGATAATATCATGGCATTCTGTATAAAACATCTGAAAAGCTTTAAAGATGCTATCAAACAGTCGGGTACACAGACAGCGGTGGGCAGCGATCCAGTTGTAATATCTTACATTGCTCTGTCAGTCCACTTTATTTTTGAATGTGTCTTACATGGTGCCGTGACTAAAACTCTTAATCGCAAAAAAAAAAGTATTAGAAAAAAAAAGAATGTGTCTTACTGTCTTAAATGAAAGCTAAATTAATTTATTAATTTTAAAATCTTAATTATCTTAAGATTTCTGCAGGTTCAGCTCTAAAAATAATACTATTCATAATCTTTTGCTCCAGTCTGCTATTGTTTATTGTAGTATTATTAAAGAAGCAACTGTGGATAATTGTTCTGCATACAAATTTAAATAAAATGGTGGATTGTTATTTCATAATTGCATGATATTAGATTAGATTATATCTGTATGTATAAAAGTGAATATATATTATTGTATGGGGCTTATAGACTTTTAAACTATTGTACCAATTGACACCACATTTTACACACATATTCCTAAAACTCTATAAGTGTTATTTGCTTTGAGTTTCAATCCTTATAGGGTTACTCACATTAATTGAGTGTTGGCAAAGAAACCCAATTAGTAAAAATTAAATTGTTTTAAATTAGCCGACTTGTCATGCATTGCTATGAGATCTTTTTGAAATGAAACAAAATAATATTTACCTCATTGTTATTTATACATTCATGAAAAAGGCAGTATTTGTTTGTTTCTAGCTTGTAGACTCAACAAATACATGACCAATTTTGACAAAAGTTTCAGAGATTTTCTTTGATATATCAGGAATATTTTGAGAGCAGTTTAATTGCTTCATATTAGTTCACAAAGTGATGTACACTGATACTGATAACTACTTACACCATTAAAATCAATATAGTGCCATATTTTATATTCATTTTTTCCTGGGCTAAGTCTGATTATACAGTTAGTCTGAGGTTTCACATAATTCATTAGAAATATAAATGTTAAAAATTATAATGAATATGAAGTAACTGTTTGTTAATTAATGTTATCTTTTTATTTTTGAATTATATGTATTTGTGTATTTTTGTCTTGTATTCAGACTCAGATTTCTCGCAGCAAATTAAAAATCAAATGGAATAAAGCGGTTGATGAAGCTGAACATTTAGCAGCAATGAATAAGTAAAACATTAAATCATAATGATAAATCTGTATTAAAGTAGTATAAAAATTGTATACCTACTCTTCATCGTTATTTTTATATTATAAGATGAAATATTAAAATTAAATTGCAGACACCAGCGCATAAGTTCATTTTTTGGTAACAACTTTTTAGGACCTAATTCACCTTCGGAAAACAAGGTATGCAAACTAATGTAATTTAATCATATATTTTATAATTTACTTTTATTTATTTATATTTAAACATACAATATTTTTAATTTATTACTGAAGAATTCTAAAGAATTAAAATATTTTATTTTAAAAGGCTAATTTAATTAAAATCAACATTTTAATAATGAACATAATTTTACATTGTTAAACACAAATTTTGTCAAATAAAATGAATAGATGGTATTAAAATATATTATCCAACAGCACTCTTGTTGTAATATATTAAAAAAAAGTACAATTAAATCTAAAACTATTGTAGTTTAATTTTAATTTTTTTTAGATTGTAATTGAGTCTAAATAATTATGATACAAATATTGTTATTTGTATTTGTATTTTTATAACTTTTATAATTGTATATTTTATTTTTATTATTCTCTCTTCTAAAATATAATTGGCCCGGCTGAACAAGTTTGCATAATACAATATACTATTAATTGTTTGTATTATAAATATTTTCTATGTTATTTTGTAATCAATTTAAATGTGTTAATATTTCTACAACATTATCATTGACATAAATCATTCAAATATTGATAAATTATAAACTAAACTTTATTTAAAGATATTTTTATATTTTTTATTAGGACAAATCATTCAATTTAACATTTATTTATTTATTCATTTATTTAGGCTGATTCATCCACTGAACAGAAAACTCCTATCAAGCAGCTTGCTATGATCGAGGACAATTATAATGGCGACCAACAAGTTGATTTTAATCACGAAGAGCAGGCATTGGTGGTAAATTAAAAGTTTAATATAATATTTATCAGCAGTTACATGAATATTTAAATATTTATACTATAAAATTATCGGTGAATTAATCTACTGTATTATGATTAAGTAACCTATAATCAATTCAATGTTAAGAATTAATTATTCTTTGGTTGATAAGATAACATTGGTACTCAATTATAATACACTCGTTATGTCAAATCTCAAGGGGAACAGAAAAAAGTTTCAAGATATCGAGTTATCGAGTTTTATTATAATGGTTTGTTTGTGGGTATTTCAATTTAGTTTGAGATAGTAAAAAATTGAGATATTGACTTTCAACATCATTAGAAATAATCGCATTTAGATATTTTCTCATACAAATTGTATTATAAAAACACGTGTTTTTAGATTTTTTTTCTCTTTAAAAATTCATCTTAAGTTTTATATTAATAATGGATCATGTTGATGCTGATGATTTTGCCCCAACAAATATATTGATTTGTGTAAGTATTAATAAATCAATTTTATAATAAATAATAAAAATTACTGAATTTGTTTTATCAAGTTATATCATAATACTGAGTAGCTAATGGAAGGTTACATTTAATTAACTGAATTAGGACACTCAGCCAAACACATATACAACGTCAAAAATAAAAACAAATGTCCCCTACCATTATTCTTTGTGGATATTTTAAAGCAAGGCAATAATAAAGACATCCTAGACATCAAGTTCCTACTCAATACTAAGGTATTGATTGAGAAACCACACAAAAAGAGACGTGGCCCACCACAATGTCACAACTGTCAATCCTATGGACACACGAGAAATAACTGCTGCCACGAACCAAAATGCGTTAAATGTGGTGAAAACCACCTTACAATAGAATGCCCTAAAGACTGACATAGTCCCGCCAAATGTGCACTTTGCACTAAGGAACATACTGCCAACTTCAAAGGATGCCAAGTCTACAAAGCTGCCTTAAAAAAACCATCCATCCAGCCAAGATTCCTGATTCCAACAACACTAACAACTATCAAAACACCAAATCCTACCCTGAAGCCACCAAAACTCATCAAAACCTACACTCGGAACTCAAAATCACCGACGCTCTCAAGTTTAATATCAAATTTAAACTCACTAATTAGCCCCCTTATCTCCCTTCTTTCATCAGTCCTAAATGCACTCACAGCTAATAGCACTCCATAATCTTATCGCCCAGACAATCCATACTAAAATTAATTAACTTATATAATATCTTATCTCATTTCCTTTTCCCATTATATTATTTAAAAATATCTATACATAATCAATTACCATTCGACTCAACTAACACAACATAATATTTTGTAAAATCATATAATGTTTATACTTGTAATAGCATCTTGTATGCTGAGACATTTTAATATATTAAATAATAAAAAAAAAACATTTAATTAATAAAGTCTAAAATTAAAATAGAATTGAAATTAAACGTAGAGTTTATAGGGACTAGACTGGAAATCTCAATAGATTTTTTTGCCTACTTTATGGTATTTTATTTTACTATATTTAGTAAACAACTGGATTTTTTTTATCTTAACTAATATAATGAATTTAGTAATAAAAAATGTAAAGTACACAATTGTAATTTATGTTTCAGAATAATGATTCAAAAGATCACCCTCGTCATTTAATCCCCAAGCTATGTCGACAATTCTATGCCAACGGCTGGGTCACTGGAACAGGTGGCGGCATAAGCATTAAATACAAGTACATAATTATTACTGTTCATCACATCTTAATTTTCTTTAAATTGTGTTAATCTAATAGAGTAACATAATTTTATAATATGCTTATTAGTTATTTCCCTATTCAATGTTATAATTACGTATGACTTGAATATGTATAATAAACTATAATTTTGGTAATTATAGCTTAAAAAATTAATTAACTTTTTATGATGATTAGTGACCAAATTTTTATTGCACCATCTGGTGTTCAAAAAGAAAATATTGAACCTGACGATTTATTTGTTCAAAATCTGGATGGTGAGGATATTATAGTTCCGGAGCCTGAAAAAAAACTATCAAAAAGCCAGTGCACTCCCATATTCATGTGTGCATATACTGGTAAATTAAATAATTAGAAATGTTTTATTTTTTTACTAATAATTTATGGAAAACATTTAGAGAGAAATGCAGGAGCTGTGATACATGTACATTCTATGGAAGCAGTCAAATTATGTTTGTTAAATCCCGAAAATGAACTAAGGATTACTGGCTTAGAAATGATAAAAGTAAGCAACAACTATGAAATGGTATTTTCACAGATAAAAGTATTTGTAAACTTTTTTAGGGAATTTTCAATGAAAAAACTGGAAAATTCTATGATAATGATGAAGAACTTGTTATACCAATAATCGAGAATTCAAAATATGAGAAAGATTTAGTTGAAACTTTTAAATTAGCTTTGAGAAAATACCCCAGCACTTCTGCAGTTTTGGTCCGCAACCATGGAATGTACGTTTGGGGTAGTTCATGGATTACAGCTAAAACACAGTGAGTTTAAACGTTTAAATGTATTAGGCGCACAAATTACTTATTCTTTTTAATGGATTTTTAGGCTTGAGTGCTATGAGTATTTATTCGGTGTAACAATTTTCAAGAAGACAAACAAAGTTTAATCAAATTGTACATGTAAACTTTATCCTATTGGAGAGCAATTGGGAGTTATCCAAAGGCTATTGAGGAAGAACTCAACTTTTTAATCATTTTTAAACTAAATCTGTTTGTTCATTATTTCGTAATATTAAAAGGTCTTCTCATAAAATGATTTTTTATTCTTTATATATTATATAATTTATGAGTATATTATCATTTTTACAAAATTGTATGATTTTTAGTTTAGACAAAAACTCATTTTTATTAATTAGTTGGTTTAAGCATCCAAAATATTTTACTATTTATTGATTTTGATTGATTTAAATAATCATGTTTCACTATTCACTAAATATTCATATAACATGGGAGTAATCTATTACTGTACAGTATAAGCAGTCAACATCCAAGGTCTTTTGAGTATCAGATCGGTAGAATCGCACAAACGATATTTAAAAATATACTTTTACTAAAAAATTTAAGGATGTTATTGATTTTGCTAGAGTAGTATAAATCAATTACATATTCTTTCTATAAAGGTTCTTAAAAAGGTTCTCCAGAACAGTATTGTAATTATAATAACTTATTCAATATGTTTATTCCATTTTAGGCTATTACACGTCAAAAGTAGATATTTTACATTTTTTAACTTCTTTTATTCCTAGACAACTACATTTTATTTCATTGTCTGAATCACATTCATGAACTATTTTCTTATTTGTACTATTTACAATTATTAATTAACATGCTTTTAATTCTAAATTGTACGTTATCTGTTTTATTTGAGATGAAGTGAATTGTCAAACCAGTGTAGTGATCGCTGTGCAGGAAACGACGATCGGTACCACAATAATTATTTAAACGACGTAGCACGTTTGTCGCTGTCTTGAGACGTATGTTGAGAAGATATGTATTGAAATTAATAAAACACTTAGACTCGTTTAGTCAAATAAAGTGAAACAATTTATTAATTATTATTTATAAACATAAAAAATCTCTAAGCACACTGTCGTAAGCGCGTCACGCTATCGAGCAGTGCTGAATATCTTCTAACATTTGGTAGGTGCTCTACCCGTATTTATGCGGGTTCTAGCAATGACTTATTATGGCGTGATATATTAATAGTCTAATTTTACACCCCAATAATGCTAAATCACATTATTATATTGTATAATAGGTAAAAACAACTTGTTGTTTTCACTCTTGATCTCTGTTTCCTGTTATTTAGGCTTTTCCGAACATTACATATTTATACCTACCTATCTATCATAAATTATGCCTCGTGTATAATTTATTATTATGATTTCTAAGTAATATATTCTAATAATTGCTATAGAATAATAATGAATAATATACTACTCTTTTGGGTTTACTACACCAGCTTTTAATTATTGCTATGTGTTACAATATGATTTGCTGAATTATACAGCTCATTAATTTGGTTTTTCTTTTTCAAAACAAAACATAATTTTTTGCTCAGGAGATTTAAAATTAAATCAAAGCTAGATTCCCCAAGGATCAGTCCTAAGATCAACCTTCCTTAATATAATATAGTGTCACAATATCTCTGAATCTCTTAACTCTACTGCCATTATTTGCTTACAATAAAACAATCCTCACTCAATTACTCAAGACAACTATTTGGAATTATCTATTTGAAAACACCAACCATCTTCTTAAGGTTGAATTTAATTTCTATTTTTTTTCAAGTTAAGTCTCCACCTGGTTCAATAAATGGAAAATAATATTAACAGAACCATAAGTGCCACAAAAATGTTTACCTTATAAATATACAGTAAACCCTATTGAGTTTTTGTAGAAAACCAACCATTAGAATGGAATAAGAAAGATAACTCATCACCTCAATGCTTTTTAAGACGAAAAACTCACTCAAGGAGAAAACAATCAGAAAACTACTCTGTACCCAAATTTACACTTCCAGTTAAAATCTTCACTCCTACTACTCAGTTCAAGATGAGAACAGACCTCTGCAACAATCAGACTCATTTTCAGACACTTCCTTTATCAAGTCGACTTGAGAGGCCATGCACATAAGCCAGCGACCGAAGTCTGTTTTTGTCTTGAACAGAATACAACATACACCTCGATAATCTGATCGTTAACTACCTACACCTCCCAGTATGGACGTCAGCTTTGACCACAAAAATTAAAATAGATGTGACTCCAAAACAAATTACTTGTACGAGAATATTATGCTTAAGACACATTTTGTAATGAATAGACACTTAATTGTCGATTGATTATACTTAATGATGCAGGAATACCACTTCTTCAAGATTGAATCAAACTAATTTAAAAAATGGTGGGTACTAGTGGTAGGTCCACCCTGCTGTACAGGTAGTGTGTATGGGTCACTATAATGCAAGTGTTAAATTTGAATTCAAAGATATAAAATCATTGTATTTGGAAAACAATTATGAGAATATGTTCTGTCAGCTTATATTATAATATTTTCAAATTAAGAAAAAATAACTAATATTGTTTAAACCATCTTTAAATATCTAATTTTATCCAAATTTGTACTTGAAATATAAAAAAAAATAAATGGTTTACATATTTTTTAGCTTTCAATAAGAAGGAAGTTTGTATTTAACTTGCATGATTCATTAAATAGATAATTTTGTGATTGTTAATGATATATTATCCATTACCTTTTAATATTTATAATAACATTTTCAAAATATGAAGTATTTACTTTTTATTTGATTGGTTGTATTAAAATGATAAGACAACAATTGAATGATGGTTTTTTTATTTATGGAAAACCAAAATTATTGACAATCAAACAAAATTCCTACATTTATTAATAAACAACAAATATTTGATCAAATAACATAACAAACATTATCAAATAAGAAAAATAATAAGTAACATTTTAAACTAAAATAATTTAATACTGCCAACCAACAAGCATGTCAACTTGTTTAATAGATACTAGTGTATGGTAACGGTAACCTCTTCCTTTTTTTTTTTTTTAAATTACTTTTTGTCTACTATGTAAATCATACAGCGTAATAATAAATAATAATGATAAAAAAAAAAACCAATAGTTTTAATCAAATGGCAAAGGAATGCTTGTGTATTGCATAATCGGACTGACCATCTCTACTTGCAGAGCAGTGGCCATACTGTCCGTGGCACTGTCGGTTTCTCCTAAACTCTCCAAGACTTTCCCCAAGTTGTACCTTGAAATGTTCAATTCAATGGCTACAAACATGGAACATTTTATTGAATTTATATGAATTTAAACATACCATGTTTCCGGAGAGTAAGGATTTATTTTTGCAGCGTCTCTCAATGTCTTTTCGGCCAATCTGTGGCTACCCAAATAATGGTACATCAAACCCTGTATAACAAAAGTACTGTGATAAAAAATTTGGCTGTAGAATAAACATTGATGTAACTACCAAATGTTGTAAGCTTTTCAAATGAGCTGGATGAACTGTTACTGCATTTTGATAGCATTGTTTTGCTTCATTGAATTCGTTTCTTTTTTCATGAAATAATCCTCTCTGTATCGACATATTAAGAGAAATACTTTATTTCTGAAGTCAGTATAAAATAAGACACTTTATGGTAATAGGAAAAATATGAAACTAAGCAACTACATTGAATTAATGCATGTCAATTTCACAGTAGTCTATTGGTAATATTGCACGTTGATCTTAGTCTATTTATACTGTCTTAAATTGTTTTCTATTGAAGTACATTTAGGAAAACTTAAGTATTTTAAAAATTACAAACTGAGTCTATAAAACTGATTCCAGGCGCAGATTCAAGAGAGAGGAGATATGAGTGCTTGAGTACCCCCTGTCAAATAAGTCACCAATAAGATAAATTTGTATGGTAAATTAATTACATAATCTAAAACAGAAAGGTATAACCATTTTTTTTTTTTTTTGAGTACTCCCAATCAATTTTTCTGGATCCGCGTCTGAGAAAGAATTATCATCATAATAATATTCAAACAAATATAAAATAACAACAACAAAAGTTGGATAATTCGTTAGGAAATACACAGGAGTGCAGACCTATCCAACTCAATTTAAGGTGATATATTAAGGCACATTTACCATAAACATGATGTGGTGTGATAATGGAAAAATACTGGCTGCTTCCAATAAACAATTATTTGCTGAGTCAAATTGTTCTTGGGACAAGTAAACCTCGGCTAAAAGTAACCAAACATTTTGCTGTGTGTGCCACACCGTATTGGTCACAGGTCGTTGGGGTACCAGTGAACTAATAGATGACGCTACTTCTGATAAGGCTTGTTCAATACGCGCTGGTCCCAAGGAATCTACGCAATATGCAATTTGTTATCTTAATAATGAATATAAATATTAAGAGAATGTTGTACCCTCATAACATCCGTCTTTCTAATGCATAATATATCAAAATGGTATGGTCCAGCAGTTCCAATTTTGTATTGTTAACTTAAATATTAGCCAACTGATTTATTATCAAATTTAAATGTAAGAACATTATCTGTATTTTTGGGATATTTCAATTTTTAAGTGAACCATGAAAATTTTAAATATTAATATTTTAAATATGTACCTATAACTCACTTTAAAATTAAAATATCATAAACATTAAACAATCAGAGAGATAACACAAATAATGTTCTTACATTTAGATTTGATAATAAGTCAATTCACTCTAATATTTAAGCTATCAACACAAAATCAGAACTGCTGAAGGAAGGCTAGGTACAAGCAAGTCATGCATTATTTTAGGGCAGAAAATATCTAATAACAGGCCTGGTTGTACATACATTTTGATATATTATGCTTTAGTAAGACAAACCCAACACAAATGCGGGTACAATGTCCTCTTAAACAACTGTATAAATTGAATGCGTGTATTACTTGAATCTTTGTCTGAGAGTTCAGTGGTGTAAAGCTGAAAAATACTACGAGTATCAGTGTGTTCTACGGAAGGAGAACCTTCGTTGCTAGCTGATGCTTTGCACATAGAAAGCATATGTTTAGCTGTCACAAGTGCAACCTGTGAAATATATGTAAACAAAAATAAAATTAATAATAAGCATAGCCTATGAAAATAGTTAAGTATTTTAATTACATCAGAAGCTTCTGTCTGCAATTCGATTCTGGCTCTGATGAATAACAAACCAATATGATCAGGAAAA